GGGGAAGCTCGGCATGCCGACTTTATTTCGTCTCTAGGAGCTTTTGATGTTGTATGTTATTTTATATTTAATTCTCTTTATGAATCAAACATTGAAGTTCTTGGAAACTATCATATTATACATCCTATATCCATTATCAAACGCCCGGCTTGTTTCCTTTCTATGTCGCTGCCATCTCTTGACTAGCCATAGCCATGGCCGCTTCTTTATTTTGTTCGGCCAGTTCCTTTTGATATCGAGTCGATGCGACCTCCAGTGCGTGGAGTGTAGGACCAAGAAGCTGATGTACAACTTTTTGGCCTCCCTCAACGCCTTCTAAGTTGACTCGTAATTTTCGCCCGGTGCTCTCATACATGTCACGGGCCTGTTTCTTTAGCCGGTCAACTTCGACTTTCCGCTCAGCCTCTGCGTCATTAGCAACAGCCTTAATACGCTCTGCTGCTCGCTGAAGAGACTCTGCCAAAGACGCGACCTCTCCAGCGCGGTCGGGGTTGCCCGAGAGAAATGCCTGCCAGAACTGATGCAAAAACTCCGTGGTTGTGGCGTGTGTCAATGTCAAACGGTCAAAGAGTGCCGTGGACAGTCCATATGTTTCTGATGTTGCTCGCTCATACATCTGTGCACGGCGTTCATGCAATGCTTTTAAGATCTGGGAAAATGCATCATGTAGAGCGGCAGATGATCCGACAGGTCGACGGCTAGCAGGTGCATCCTCCATCTCCTCGTCTTCATCATCACCGGGGTCCACTAACTTGCCTAGTTGTGTATTGCCCTGTGAGGGGAGACTTTGATTGATCTCCGCACGGAGAATCTGAAGAAGCTGGTCCGGATCTTGTTTCGTGAACTCCTTGGTTTTATCCTCTTCCTGGCCATGAGTGAAGAACCGACTTTGATCACGAATGTTTAAAGTGATGCGACTTTGCTCTTCTTCTCCACGAAGATCTTGCAGCTGGAGCTTTTTCCATGCTTCTTCGTTGATGCCTATAGGGGCACTCATGTCACCGTCGGCCGGAGCCACATTAGCCATGATCTTTTCACTCAGGCTGTTTAGTGTCCGGATAATGGGCACTTTGTCGACACCAGAGGGTCTCATATCTAGGTCAGGTCGGTTCCCGCGACGTTGGCTGTGGTTTACTTCATTGCCAGCCAGATCCAAAAAGTGATGGATATTTGTGTCCCGGTCTGGCTGAGCAGCCTCGTTCGTTTCGAGGTATTTGTCCAGCACGGCATCGGTTGCGTCAGCTTCTGTAATCCGCTCTCCGCGTAGTTTTTTGAACAGCCGACTCTGGAAAAATCGTGACCAGAACTGCTGCTCGCTGAGTTTCGGCACATTCTCGTCATACACTCGTTTGACCAGTGCATGTTGTGTGAAGATGAGCTGGATTTGCTCTTTGCTGATATTCAATCGTGTCACGTTATCTTCAACTCGAGGCCTAAGTGAAGATAGCACATTGTATGAGCCACGGATTTGGCCCTGTTCGATTGCGTGCGCCCGCAGTAGATGCAGTCGTGTTGACCAGAACTGTGATACGAACGACCCAGACGACAAGGCCTCCGGTTTTGTATGTAACCCCTCGAAAAACATTCGCTGCAAATTCGAATCAGATCTTAATAACGACTGCTGTAGCTCTATATCGGACCGAAGCTTATTCTCGTCGTCCAAAGGATTCTTCGATGTCCCGGCGGACGAAACAGCGTTTGCAATCGCCATTGCCGCTGACAACCCCTCAGAACTGCCTCTAGGCCCCGGTGTCTGGGATGGTGTGCCGGCCTTCGCGGTATTGACCCGGGCACTCAATGTGTCTTTGATGACATCGGCCTGCGGGCGGGCGTCTGCTCCAGCCGTGAACAGGAAGACATATTGATCGGGAGTACTATCGGGTGGCGCATCGGGAGCTTGGGCAAAGATTTTGAGCATCACTTTCGGATTCGAGGCTGGGGTCTGCTGGAGATCTAGCATTCGCACGAGTCAGCAAAGAGAACGAGTGCACGGCCATGGAGTGGCTGCATACTAGTGATGTTGACCACGGGGATTGTGATCGTGTTCCCAGCTCCTGCAACCGCAGGACTCCATGAGACTGACTGCCCATCTGCGGATATAGCTAGGGTCCCATCTTTCTTTTTGTAAGAGGCCGCTCCGCTCGGAGGTGACATCGTCGCGTGTCTTGACAGCTTCCACTATCTTCAAAGGCTGCAACGAATCCACCCATCGGGATGAGCAATTCCCCAGGGCGGAAGTTAGCGAGGAGAGTCTGAGATCTTAGTGATAGACGGGCGCGCGTAGAGGTGAAACCAACGAGAAATGCGGCTCTTCTCCAAGTCATCACATGACGTTTGACGTTTGCCAAGCCTCACCTGGGGAGCCAAGCCCTAAGTGAACGAAGCTGCAATTTCATTTGTGAGTGTAAACAATTAAAAATCACGATCTGTTATTGATCTATGTTTAATCCGGTGTTATTTTATCTCTTTGTTCTTTTGAATAAAAAAAGTCCAGTAGAAAATGTTGGTTTGTGTTTAAGCCATCATCTTCTCAGTAAGTTAAGGGAGACAATTAACATTTGAACCATTGAATTTACTATTTCTCGATTGGATTATCATTTCTAGAATGATTCCACTGTTTCTACATCCAACTTTTTCATACACAAAGTAGTCGTGCGGGATTTTACTTAAGAAGCTTGCTTTCAACACATACTTAGGTTAGATATAGTAACGCATCTGCACCCTATCACATTGTGTCAGGGGCAGCTAGCTACCTATGGCATTTGTCCAAGCACAATATCAGCAATTTTGACATCAACAATGAAAATTAAGGCCCAAAAAAGGAGACACAAGAGGTGGCCTAAAATAGTCCGAGCCGCAGCACACGGCTGTTTACTTTGCACTCGACAGAATCACCACTCGTTTCGTTGGTGATCCGACTAAACCCATCCTTCCAAAGCCTGCCATGCTGAGCTGATTGTCTTTGGGGGTGAGACGAGGGTGTCCCTCCGGGAGCTATCCACCTTGATCACCGCGAACTGATCACCGCGGAAGACATAGTAGTGATCGTGACCACTCGGGCTCGCAACAATAGCGTCAACACAATCAAAGCCAGCCTGGACAAGACTCGGCCAGCCCTCTGCGATAAGTGCGACCTTGTTGACAATTTTGTCGGTGCTATTGTCTAGACGAACATAGTGCATGCCGCGGAAAAAGTACATCTCGTTCTTTGTTCCGGGGGTGAGCATTGCTGCATCCACGGAGTCAAAGCCCGCTTGAGCGAGCGACTTCCATCCAGAGGTAATGGGACTGGCCCCATCATTGACGAAGGTATCATCGTAATTTTCAAGCTTGATTTTGGCATATCGGCCTCCGAAGAAAACGTAGAGTTGTTTTTCTTTGCCAGGTACAGGCACAATAGCGTCCACTGTGCCAAAGCCCATCTTGGGAAGAGTGTTCCAGCCCTTGCTTAGGAGGGTCGGGCCTGAAGCAAGACTATGCTCGGGACCTCCTTTGCTAAATCTGACACGACCGTAGTGCCGGCCGGCGAAGATAAAGATCTCTTCTTTTCCGGCAATCCTACAGGCAGCGTCAACCATTGTGAACAAAGATAGTCGATGGAGACTTTAAAAGGGTAGAAGTGTGGTGTTGTTGTTGTAGGTGATGAACAGATACTCAATTGTGTGTAGTGTGAATCTTCAGACTAGCGGTCGATATGGTGGTATTTATATCCATCTGCCCTTGCAATATGGGCTTGTTACCAAATATTGCCCATATGACTTACTCCTTGCCTGTACGATGATAACATTTGGAATGGCACATTTGTATGACTGAGATCGAGCACCATCCACTGCATACTGTCTTACAGCTAGACTGGAGCAAAAGGCATTGGCTTTTGATCATATGCTTGACTTGAATTCCACCAAGTCGAACGAAATTTATGACACTTGTTGATACAGGACATCAATCAGCTCATCTAGCTAAGAGTTCTCACTCATATACCAAATTAGATAATTCCTGGGGCTAACCTTGGAATGCACATGGATCACGCTGCTAGTTACTGAAAATCTCAACTACCCATCATAAATATATATATATATATATATATATACACACTCCTTTCAGTAAATTCCCTTTGAGTGAATAACTCAAACTACTCATGATCGAAAGACACATACTAATTTAGCTAATCATGGTAGTCCCGTTAGGTTGTACCAAGGACCAAGGGTATATATGTGCAGTAAGAACCTCTCGGTTTAGGAGGATCAAGCTTTATTCCGCAACCCATGCAAATGAGGGCATGCAGTGCCTTATTGTGCAACGAGAGAAAAAGATCCCAGCCCTGCAAATCCACTTTCTAGCATTAGATCTCTCGGGCTCTGTGGCCCATACCAGTTAGTACTCCAGCCGCCGATCTGTGTGTAACGTCGAAGGTTAAAACAAAAGAGCCAGCTTTCTCGTCCGTAAGGGCTGGGTATGGATATAAAGGGCTGGGTATAGGAGAATGAGAGTACTAGCAATACCCCAAGAGGAAAAAGAAAGAAAAAACCACACAGTAGTTGTTTCCTTGCCTAGTTAAGCAGCACAGCGGATACATATGTATTGGTGCTTATTTTAGCATTAGACATTCATATTTTCAATAGGACTAAGGTATGTTTGATTTCACATACTACTGCAGTCCCACAGTTCCTATAGGGCTTGTTCAAATGTTTGCTCTTCGCTATTTCAGAGTATCGTAACTCTCTTGGTCGGATCATCTCCTACCTTGGTTTTAATTTTAGATGGGTCTATTCCCATCTTGCTTTCTAGCTTTTCGCCTGCTCCGATTATATATCCTAGCTACCTACGCCGAATATAGTCTTATAGCTAGCTGTATCCCTAGTTTTGACAATTATAATAAGACTGCTCCTGATAGATATCTTACGCCAACCGCCATCAACTTCTTGAATGTACACGCACTTTGCCGTACAAACTGTATATAGTATGAACATATTAGGAATTATAGCCCAGTTGTCCAATGTCTAGACTGATATATTCTTATATATGCGCTTTATAGTGATTTTCAACCAAACCAAGAACCTGATTTGCCATTCCCCAGGAGTAAACATAACCCAGACTACCAGCTCCATAAGCATGAATGATATTTCCTTCTCTCTCGACCCGAACTCCCCCTTCCGAGCCGGTCTAAAGCCGACAATATCCCTAGAAACATCTCTATCGGTATCAACCCAGCCAAAGTCGCCCTTCGTCATACTATTGACTCGCTCGAGAATATCCGTTCGCAGAGCCATATCAGGATCAACAGCGAAGTTCCCCGGTTGACTTACACCACCGAGGATGACTCCCCCACTTGCCCTGGGAATGACATAGGTATACTGGGACCCTTGCAGGATAACAGCGCGGTTAAAGTCATCGTCATCCTGCTTTCGGACAAACATAGTCTGGCCTCGAATGGATATCGAGCTATCATCTGAAGCAAGCTCCCGCGCACCCAATCCTGATGCGTTCACCACGATACTGGCCTGGCTTAGGTTCTGCATTTCTTGGAAAGATTCAACCTTCCCCCGTACAAATTTCACTCCTCGGTCAACCAACTTCTGGGCGATCCATGGTAGGAACATTCTCGGGTCCACGGTCAGTCCACTGTACGTGAATCCGATTGTCGCTCCTGGTGGCATGTCGGTGGACTGGATGGGGGTGAAATCGGGTAAGATTGATTTGTACCATATCGTTGAATCGTCCGCACGGTCGTCATAAAACTCGGTGATATTGAGTTTCTAGGCGGTCGATTAGTTTATTGAATTCGATTGATAGTAATTATATAGAAGTGACTTACTCTGATACCACTTCGAGGACCGTGATCCGCTAGTTCAAAGTACTTCTTGATTGAATATTCCTGGAGCTCATTAAAGCCCGTATCTGGATGTGGTGCAAGCAGAGCGCCTGCCCTACAGGACAAAAGAAACCGTCAAAATAAGACATAGATCTTTCAAATCAATGATTTCTAGTTCAGTGTACTCATGTACTCACCAAGGACTGGCCCATTCTGTTGTTTCATCGCCAGGGAGATTCCGGGCTACAATAATGACATCGTATCCAGCATCAACAAGTAACAAAGCACTGGTAAGCCCGATCACACCAGAACCAATAATACCGACTCGCGTGTTCTTGGATGTACAAGATGGCATTTCCTATATGAGTGTGGTTTCAATATAAAGAAACTCCGGGGTACAAACACTGAAACTGCTGCTAGATACCTGGATGCCCGAGATCGGATCGATAACAACGAATAGGAATACGAATTCCTCCTATCTTCCCCTCAATTCTCGGCTATCACTTAGTTGTATAAAGGGACCCCCGCTCGAAGGAGCCGATATATTTATTATCTGTCGGAACCTCGCCTCGACAAGACGTATAGCTCGATATGCTTCATTTCCCTGCCATATCAAAAACATAGTGTGATCAATGTAGGGGAATTGATAGAATTCCGAAGCTCTTGCTGCGCTCATTCTTCTCCCTTCGCCAGAACGTGGGAAACATTGTTGCTTCAGTGCTGGTAAACAAGCAACCTGGCACGTTCGAATCGCTGTACTCCTGCGCATTCGGGAAGTGAACAAAATCACCATTATCAATCGCTCGGTTGAGGCTCCTGTCGAAGAACTTCGGGATTTAGGATCAGATCACACAAACAAAATGGTTCAAACATACCAATCAACTATGTATGGTACAGGTCATTATCCCATAGATATATATGTATTGTTCATTTTCAACAGTGTTCCAAGTTCATAGTAGATTGTATGTGCCATAAATTGCAAATATCAATCCTCCTATTTGAAACGTTTCTCCAACTTCTTGCTGCGCGCGTCCTGAATTATATCGTCAAACACAGGCCTAATTTCCCCCAGGGTTGCCTTGCGGGCTCCCAGTGGAATAAAAGCACCATCAAACACCGTCATGAGAAGCAAAATGGTATGTATCTTGGTAGTTATTTCCGCTCCGACATTGTGTTTCAGCCGACTGTGTATATCGCTAGCATCAAGTATCATAATATCCTATAGGTGTCTGGGTGCACATACCTGGCCTTCCTTGGTCATGCGGAAAAACCTGAAGAGATCACCGTCCGTTGCAAGTGTGTATGTAGTGCGATTCTCGTTCTCTAGACGCCTCTGCTTGGCATGAAGATCACCTTTCTCCAATTAGTTGTGACAGAAGTACCAGAACACAGTAAAACACTACCCGTAAGAGCTGTCATCTCTAAGCCTATTCCCTTGCCACTCAAACCCCTCGAGGGTCGCATCACAGCTAGGAAATTGATGCTTTTGTCCTCTATCCCATACCAAAAAGAACATCCAGGACGTCTATGTGCACGAGCCCTAGTAGTTTCCTATTGGGACTGATTGAACACACCTGGGCACCTTCCGGATGAGGCAGGCACACGGGCTATATCAAATGGAGTCTACAAAACAGCTTATAAGAGATAAAAGTAGAGACTAGGTAGTTATTTATGAGCAGAGTAGCAAAATCCACATAGGTACAATAACGCCAGATGAAGCCAGTGATAATAGAGTCAAACCAAAAAATATAAAAAACCAGACACCGCTGAAGAGAGAAATCTCAGATGCTATGCAAAAACAAAAGACAAAACGCGACCGAGAGCACGAACCCGAAGCCAGTAGCCAGAATGCCGAAATTCGTAAACCATGTTGCGCGCCGCCATGCATAGACCGGATATCATCATTCATGATCGTCAAAAAAAAAAAGCAAAAAGCAATAAAAGCAAAGCCCCTCCAATGAAACGCAAACCGTGAAAATCAAGGATATCAAATCAAGGGTATCAGCAAAAGTGATAAAACAAAAAAAGATCCAGTGAATACGCTTTTGGGGAGAATAGAACGCTCATAGTAGATCATTTTTTGAACATGTAGTGGCCATAGAGGCCGCCGACCTCACCGACGGCCATAGGGATCTTGCGCATACCCCACCAGCGCGCACCCATCTTCCAGTAGCGAGCGCCATCGTCGGAGAGTTCGTGGGGCACGGAGGATGGCTCGCGGACGTACCAGCCACGGCGGCCGAGGTCTCGCACAGTCCAGCCAACGGAGATGCGCTGAGTCTTGGCACGCTCACGCAGCGGGGTGATAATCTTGTCACTGAACTCAACGACCTGCAAGGGGTAGCTTTGGTTCGAGAGCAGCATACAAGTGCTGGTGTTGAAGATGGCGCCGATGGTCATCTGCGGCACCTTGGCAAGATCAAGGTAGCAGAGAGTGCTGGGGGCATCGATTTCCACCCCTGTGGCTGGGTTGCGGTACCGGCCGAAGAACGAGTTCACGTCCGCGACTGAGAGATCCGCAGAGCTGAGACCCAGCTCCTCCAGGTACTTAGTCAGAGGTACCAAGAGTGGTACATGGTCCGAGGTGATCTTCGCTCCGCCTAGGTTGAGGGAGCGAAGAGTATCGGGAAGATTCGGCAGCAGAGCAGACACATCGGTCTCTTCCAGAAGACGGAAGCGGGTCGGGTCCGTCAACAGGTTCAGATACACGAGAGACTCATTGACCGACGGGTGGGTGGTCAGGAAGTTAACCAGGGCGCACGGGCGGAGGCGCGTGCATCGGGACAAGCTCAAGTGCGAGATACGGGCAGTCTCGGGGATGGCGACGAGAGCTGAATCGTTAACTTGAGTGTGAGTAAGGTCGAGGTGCGTTAAGTTGATCAATCGCGGGAGGAGGTAGTCGAACATGGGAGCGGGGATAGTGCTACATTCGTGAAGGGAGAGCCGTTTCAGGTTGGGCAAGGTCATGGGCAGCGCAGGCCCACCGACCAAGGCCTGCTGGAAAACGCCGGAGAATGCTTGGGTCGAGCAACCGCAGAAATCCACGGCGCGCAAGTTCGGCAGTCCCATGAAGAGCTTCCGGATCACTTCCACGCTGATGTCGCCTTCCAGATGTTCTTGCAGCAGACATTCCTTCAAATTGGGGAGCAGTTCCAGGCACTGCAAGAGGGTCCTGGAAGTCAAGTTCTGAATTTCGGCGTTCATCTGCTTAGTGCGACCCAGGCCGACGGATGTGAAGTGTGAGAAGTCCAGACGGCGCACCAATGTTCCCAAAGCCGGATACTGCGAGATATGATTCAGTGCCTTGGAGAAAATGATGGAGTGTGGGAAAGTCATGTTCCTGTACAAGACACCCAAAGTAGCAGCGTGCAATGTGTGGGATGTAAGCAGACACGAGACCAAATCCACGTTGCGAGGGGCGTAGCCATTTGGTGGAAGATCGACCGCCAGGTTAGAGATGATTTGATCTACCAACAGTTAGCACATGAGAACCCAAGAATGGCAAGTGCGACTTCTTACCAAGAACCTCTGGGGGGAATCTCTCCAAAAGTGATGTACCGGGAGGGGTCTGCAACACCTCGGCCTCCACCTCGGGGGCCTTTGGTGGGAGAAGCTCCATGGCTTCAGGTTCGGAGGCCTCCCATGCCCAGCCCTTTGCTTGTAGGTTTCCGAGCCCACGAAGATCGCTGTAGCTGCGGCTCAAACTCTTCCCACCCAATCGAATCTGCTTCCACCCGAGGAATCCACCACAAGGACAGCAAAAGTCCGGGGCTTGTTGCATCTGGGTGGGGCGCTCAACCTTGCGCTCTCGGTCTTGCTCTTGGGGAGATGGTACTTGTTGGGTGTCCACGAACGATTGCGCAATTCCTGTAGTATCGATCACGTCAGCCTCCAGCCTGGATCCGTACATTTTCGGTACGTACCGTCCTCGGTATCTTCTTTGATAGAACCGAAAGAGGGGCGACGCTGGCTGCTCGATCTGGACCCGTCTGGGGTGCTGCAGGGCGAGGGAGAGGAGGAGTCGTGTGAGTGGAAGTGGTCACCACAGGGAATTGAAGAAAGTCGAGGGAAGGCCGGCTTGGGCTGTGAAGGAGCAGGAGTAACGGATGTCATGGTGAAGAGGAAGAGGCCCTCTATAAAGGGCCCTTAGTGTACAGTGACTAGTTGAGGAGTACCTTGGAGCAGGTGGAAACACCACAAAAAAAATAAGTCTACCGAAATTTAAAAAAAATATGAAAAGGCTCCTCCTGATTGAAAAAAAGGGAAGAAAAAAGAAATGGCCCCGGTCAAATCAAAGAAAGTGTTAAGACCGAGGGCAGGTTTAGGGCTCTCTCTCTCTCCCAGAGGGGCGGCGGGGGAAAAAAAAAAAAAAACCAAGCTGTTAGTCACGGAAACGGGTGAACCGGCGTAGCACAATTTTGTAGGTAATATGGGGAGTATTAGACAGTTTTTTTCCGATCGGACAAGATTCAAGACTTTCAGTTTTGAGACTTTTGAGAAGATAATGAAATGAAAGTGAAAGTTGGAAAGTTGAAGATCCAAAAAGAATGAAATGCAAAAGAAATGCAAAGAAATGCACCATGGGTCATGGCCACATGGGGCGAATTATGAGGAAAAACAACGGGTGAACTGATTGATTACGGTGGCGGATCTTTTATTTTATTTTTTTATTATTTTATTTGGGTTTCTATTCTATTTAATTCTTAATTCTTAAGCTATATAGTATATAGTATATATAAAATTATATACTCCATAGTTATATCGATGCTATACTTCCTTATATCACAACTAGACTGATTAAGTTCGTGTTAGTTCCCCAAGCTACCCCTGCAGACCCCATTTGCTTTTTTTTTTTTTTTTTTTTTTTTTTTGATTATTTCTTGTATGCATGCGGAAAATGGCGTCATACCCCCAGGATTTGGACCTGACAGACATATTTTTTATTCTTCGAAGATACAAAAGTACAATCAGTAACTTGGGAGTACATATGCATCTATAATGTTGTATGGTCCCTATGTTCTCCGATTCTATGACATAATATAGTTAACTCACTAAATAAGAATCCACCGGTACCTAACTAGCGCCTTCACCAAAAACTTCCCAAAGTGACAGGTCAGCAGATCTCAATCCGATGCATCCGCTTTGAACTGTACAATGTACCCCAGACTACGAGTTCCTATTACTTAATATATTCCTATTCATGCAGTTACTATTAGTAATCTTCTCTCAGTCCTCGACATAAACCAGCCATATAACTGGAAGTCGCCTCTTTTGGGAGATCATGCGGGGGTAACCTTGGAAGACACTCTCTATTACATAATAACAATAGATCCCTGTCACCTGATGTTATTACGGCCCGTGTCCCTGGGTGATCCAAATTGGGTGATCCCTCCAATTTGGTACTCCGTATATTTGTACTCCATACACATACATAGTACAATGTCAATAAAAAAAAAAAAAAAAAAAAAAAAAAAAATTGTCTCGGAGTTCCGATGGAGCAATAATAATTCCCATTAGCTCATCTGAACTAGTCTACCTAATATTCGGAATAGTGACTCTTCTCCTGACTCTCACCGACTTTGCTTGTCTCCCATAAGCCAAGACCGGTGATCCACGGTCATCCCACGATTATGCAGTTGATCGTCAAAGCCAAGCCCGTAGTTTCCCCCTTAAATAGCTATACATCACCCCCCCGCTTTCTTCCCTCCTATTTACTTTTCGGGGGAAGAAAAACAGTTGGAATCCATCGGCTTCTCCCCCACCCCGGTCCTGCATTCTTGTCATCCTAAGTTAAAAGTCAACCTGATTGCTGACTAGCACTGCCTCGTTGGTACCACCCATGCACTTTTCAGACAGGTTTGGCAAAGGCTTAGTTCTCGGGCTGCAGCTGAACATCCTAGGAGCAATGCAACCCAGTTCAGATTCAAAGGCTTGATGGGGGTTGTTGGCGTTATTCGAGTCACATCTCTCTCTCTCCTGGACTCTTGCATTTGGCTGGTGGAGTGAGTACAGCAAGTGGGGGGGACAGTATGGGGCTTGACTGCATGCCGGCCAAGCCCTGGTCGTGTTGAAGGTGTACTTCCGCGGAATTGCGCTTGCCGCCAAGGCCTCCGCATTGCTCAAGTAGACAAGGAGGCGAACCTAAGTCTTGGTCCTGCTCTCCTTGCTCTACTTGTAGGTTCTCTAGGACTAATCCCAACGAAAAATGTTACTAGACTATAGCTAAATGGTCTAGCTGCGTTGAAACCGTGAGTCCATTCCCCTTGGTTTTGTCTTTTGAATCTGGAGAATCTTCCAATACAACTCTTTCCCTGATGAACGTTTTTCTAAGCGTTTCCTATTACCTGACACCCCAATCATACTATGTATTCTTGGGAATGTTGAAATCTATGTGGATACTGAACGGAAAAAGCAATGTCGTTGCGTGAAACCATCAACATGGCATATTGTGTGCGATGGTATCTTGTTTTCACAAATTACTTGAACATATGTTGACAATGGCAAATCCAGGGTTCGCTTCGATCAATACCGGCCGTATCTCGAGCCATAATCCGGGCCGCAGGGCCCGTAGGGGCCATGTGGGTTATAGATGATGGCGAACTCCACGTAAATTTGGAGCAAAGAGTTGCCAGAAAAACATCAAGACAAACCAACCGAATATCGAGGCCCTGAGGACGCGAAAATAAGACCCGAGGACGATGCAATTTTGTGTTATTGTCGGGGAAGGCACCACAAGTCAATTATCTCTGGAAAACTAAGGTAGACTCAAAAGAATAGTGTGCACAAGAAAGGGCAGTTTCCAATCACCATATTCCCAACCTCCTCTTCACTTGTAGCTACCCACAACAACTGCTCGCTTTGGCACATAGAGCAATGCAACTTACAAATGTACACTCGTCTATTTACCTTTTCTATTATGGCTGTGCTTGTAGCATTCGGCGTTGTGAAAAATGGCTTCTCTGAAATAATCAATTGGCCTTTCGCGACGTTGAAACGCGCTACGAGGCCTTGTCCCTTTCCTGGCACAGGCTTCATTTCATACAGTGGCAAGTTCAGCTCGCGGATTGGGTCGGTGCCGAGCACAAATTGTGCTAAGGTGGTTGGCACTTCCGGTTCGTCGATCTAATTATTGATAGATTAGAGAGCGGCCGTGAATCATAATCTTTTCAAGATAGTATACCTTCTCATAGGATCTAATTGAAAGTTTCACATCATCCAAAGCATAGTAGCCCAATGCCCCTTCGCCCTCATCCCAGTCACGCACTCTCGATCCGAACCAGCAACTGGCTACCCGGCTAACAGTATCGATATAGTTCCTCAATCCGCCGGTGTCCTCATTCGGGATCGTTGCGCCAAAACGAAGGAACTTGTGGCATTCAAGCGGAAGCAATAAGTCTGGGTCGGGCTTGAATGCAATGTAATTAGGCTTCACTTCGACTTGATCATCATTTTGGTAACGCTCTGTGATGGTTTTCAGGAGTCTTTCCCAATTGTGTTTGTCTACCAGCCCTTTGGTTAGACGCGGAACTATGTCAAAACCTGCGTAGGAACCCATAGCTATCGGTCAAGTTAAAGTTATTGAAAGAGAATCGTTATGGATCATCAAGTGTTAGAACGAAGCAAAGGGAGGATGTACTTATATGAGCAGGCTGTTGGTGTGTGGGTCTAGCTGCAAGCCAGGAAGAGAAGGAAGATATATGTCCCTACTGGCAAACTGAGGCTAACTATATAGCTAGTGGAATCCTGAAAATCAAGGCAGTACCCAGCCCAAGGTGGTGTTTAACCCCTGCTGGTTTGGGCCGCACTGGTGGCGTAATGTGAACCTTTGATTTTAGGTACGTTTTCTATGGGATACACATAGAAAAGGTACTTCAAATGTGGACAGGGCATTATGCCGGGTGATAGCAAATACACATCCCAAAGAGGGGTTACACCAGGGCTCCTTATATGAAAGGTATTGATTCTACACTGTTCGACGTAGAAGAAGAATGTGAGATTCAGGGAAACATGATGGGTCATTTTTTTATCAGCCCATACGTAAAGGTCCATCAATATGTGCGAGGCCCAAGCTACCTTCATAGTGCGACCCATTAATAGCCATAGAGAAAGTATAGCGAAGCAGATATCATCAGAACCCATTCTAGTCTAGGAAAGGACCTGTTTTAGCGCTCTTCTCTTGACATTCTCACTTTCAGATATTCAGCATATCCTATAATGTATGGGTGAGCGATACAGCCAGAGAACAACTCAACCAGCGCAAACGCAACCCGAGACAAGTCTCGTGCCCCCGGTACCTCGTCGCTGGGGCAAGACATGCATACCCGCTAGAACGCCATGATCTAGAAGGCTGGAGTAGAACGTAAATTGGTCTAGACAAGTGTGTCTACCCGACTCATAGCGGGCGTGTCTTGGGAAATGCCGGAAGTGACTTCTGGTGGTTAGATACTAGTTATATAGTGTGGGTTCTTGGAAGTGTGTCTTAGGATTTGACGAAAGTGGCTACTTGCTTCTTTTTTTCCCCTTCTAGTTCCTTGCTTTCCCGAGACATTCGTGGTCTAGACGTGGAAGTGTAGACAAAAAATTGAAGAACGTGGTTTTGATGTTTTTAGTATACATACATGTATGTATATTATTTATATTCTAGTTATATGCGGTTAGTTTTGCCTTTAATGCCGTCGACATAAAGACCTGTCTTAGCTGCTCACCCTCCCCCTCTCTCACTTTTAGTAAGAGCGTGGTTGTTAATATTCACTTGTGTATCAAAGAATTATGGGTTAAAGGACGCATCTTCCCCTTTTCCATTCTCTTCAACCTCCCCAACCTTTCCTCGTGATGAATGACATGGATTCTTTGTCTCCTCCTCCATGGGGGACACTGTCTGTCGAACAATATCTCATCGTATGTTCTGTTGTGCCTTTTTGTTTCTACTTCAGATGCTAATCCTGTGCAGACAAACTGGAATAACTCCTCCACCAAAACCCCCGACCAGCAACGAAAAATGTTGGTCACTGAGTTCCTCGACGTGGAATCTATTCCCCTTGAATGGGCCGAAGATTGGGATAGCCTTCCAGCGGGCATCGATCCGCCACGTGCGCCTACAACAGAGGAGGTGGACACAATTCTCCGACCTTACCGCAGCGACGTGCTTCGATGGCACGCAATGAATCTTTTCAATGACCCGACTTGTCCTGCTTTACTACGCACGCACTATTGCACCGACGAAGAAGAGAAAGCCAGACACGATGATTTAATGACCGAATGGGTCGATTCAGATCACTTTGAACCAGAAGCCTGGTGGGCCGTTCTCAATGATGCAGATCTCTTCAACTTCGGCGCGGAGTGGCGACGTGTGTACGAGATTCTTCCCGAACTTGCGGGCCCACTTGACCCCGAGGTCGATGATAAACTGAGGATTCCGCGCGCCCGTAAAGCAGAAGACCTTGAACCTTTCCGCTCTGATCTCAAAACGCAAACTGCCGAAGTAAAAGAAGAAGCCCCGGAGGCTTGGCGCGATGACCGAGACACAATCATCGATAGCCTCGCGATAGGGTTGCAAAAATGCGCTACGAGGGCGTATCTTATGCTTTCCGGTCTGGAAGTTTGTATGTGCTTTATTTAGATGGTTTCCGAAACGTCATTCGCGAAGGTCGTATGGATCCTGAGATCCACGATCTCTTTGGTGTGATTGGTACATGGATGGAAACCAACGAATTCCTTGAGGGCTCTACTGTTGGGGAAAAGTATCGAGCTAGTGCAGAATTAGGGAGGGAACTGTATCAATTGACGGAAGAAGAACTTGCAGATCCTAATCAATAGATGAAATGGAGAACATGGTGTTGCATATATACTAGATGGGATGAACTAAAAGGTTTATAATAGTTCTCCAATCTTCACGAAAGCTTCTCGTTAATATTCTATACCTCTAGATGTCGCTTTGTATCCACCATGGTTAAATTATACAAGCCATAAGCTGACTATATAGGCTATCTACTTTCCCCTATTATCAAGCCTATAAGTAGTCGTACCACAAACTCTAGAATCCCCTTTAGAACTATAAGATCGTGCTCTGCCCTTAGGGCCTTAGTAACTTTCAATCTATTGAGATAATAGACTTTCAATCTATTGAGATAATAGCTGTTTCAAATAGTAAACAAAATGTTAATTACCAAGGTTCCGGCTGGACGGCCAAAGTTATGGGTGGAAAGGCAGCCATTTCTGGCCTCAAAAGCGGTCATTTTCGGCGTCAATCCCACAGGTCCTCATATTCTAGTTGTAAAAGTCAAGTATTAATTAAATATTGTGTGGATCCATGGATAGATATTAGACGTGGAAAAGAATAGAAAATCCACAAGAGCTTCAGTAATAAGGGATGATATGTCATGTCGTCAATGACTGCTTTTTCTGGAATATCTAGGTAGAACCTTAATACGAAGATTTCACTAAAGAGAAAAATTACACAAATTACACGGAAATAAAAGGTAGAAACTGGGGTTGACGACATCAATGATGAAAATTGCATGTGGTATTGGGGGGGGATATAGCTGCATGCGGAAATGCATGCGGAAATGTGTCAAAAAAGGAAAAGATAAAACAAAAGGCTCCTTCAGGTCATAGCACATGATAATCCAGTCTAAAAAGGCGGGGGGAATTGCAGGTCGAAACCACCGACCATCCTCATTGTAAAAAAAGAAATTTTGGAAATAAATCTCAAGTCTTTTCTCAAATCGATGATCCGAATTGACATGACAAAGGATATCAGAAGTCCTAAAAGCCCGAAATTTAAGGCGCACATGCATCAGATAAGTGGTGCAAGGAAAAAAAGCAAGTCTATGAAATGACATGAGATGGTAGAAAACAGGAAAACGCCACGGAGATCCTTCTCAAGCCCAGTATCACATGTTTTTTGAGTTTCGTTTCAGCGTGAAAAGATCAGAAAGTGATCATTTACTCAATAGCGGAGGCATTGTCGCCGTGAGTGACGGGGTTGACCTTGGGGTTCCACTTGAGCTTGAAGTCGGCGCCAAGCTCCTTGGCGACGGCGGCCTTGACGGCCTCGAGGACGTTGTTGAAGACACCGAAGTTGGCAGGGGTGTTGGGGTCGTTCTCGCCTTCCTTGCCCTGGAAGACACCAGTGCGGACCAAGCAAGTGTTCCAGCCGTACATGTTTCCACCGATGATATCAGAGGCGGGGTTGTCACCGACCATGTAGATGTTATCGGGCAGACGGGAGACACCGTGGAGCTCCTCCATCCAGGCCTTCATGACCTCATCGGCGTAGGTGTAGGTAGCACGCTCGGGCTTACCGTAGACAACACGCTCAAGGTCGACACCGGTGAGAGTCTTGTACTGAGCCTCAACGGAGATACGGAAGGCACCCTGGGTGAGACGGGGGAGACCCTTGTGCTCGGTGGGCATGAGAAGATCACCCTGGGAGAAGTAGATGGGGATGCGGGTGGCGACAGGGTCCTTGGCCTTGGACATGAGCTTGCCGTCCTCGGCGAGCAGGAGATCCATAATGACCTGGAAATCGGTCTGGTAGTCACGGGAATCGGCGAAGACCATGATGGCGTCGAACTTCATCTGGGAGAAGTCGCGGGGCTTGGCCTCGGCGCGCTCGGCGTCAGTGAGGGTGGCCCAGGGGGAGATGGAAGGGTCCCAGGCGAGGAGATCCTTGGGGTGCACGACGGTCTTGAAACCGTAGTTCTCGGCAACCTCGCGAATCTTGAAGCCTTCACCACCGACAACCAGAACAGTCTCGTAGTACTCAGCCAAGGCCTGCATGGGAGTGTGGGATTGAATGAACTGGTCGGTGGAGATGGGCTGCTCGAGGATCTCGGAGAGCTGAGCACAGCGAGCCTCCTCGGTCTTACCACCACCGTTGGTGAGGAGAATGTGGGGGATGCGGATGCCGAGCTCGTTATCGCCGTTGAGCATCTTGAGGGCGACCTTGGCCTCCTCAATGGCGTGGTTACCGTGTGCCAGCACACCATCAATGTCGAAAGCGAAGGCCATGTTCTTGGCCTTTGTAGTCTTCTCCTTGTTAATATCCTGGACCTGGGAGGCCAAGATATCCCGGGAGACGGAAGGAGCACCGCGCTGCACAGATGAGAGTCGAGACAGGCGGGGGGAGCGGGGAATGGGGAGCGAAGTGCCGAAGGAGTTGCGCGAGCCCCGGCGGTCCTTCATGGAGGGAGAGAAGCTCAAGTTGTGCATAAATTGAGCGGCATCACTGATGGCGCTGCGGGTGGCGGGGATCTCGACGGTGTTGCCGCCCGAGGGGATGGCGAGTCCGGAAGCAGCACGCTGGTCCCGGGGGGAGAGAGCACCCTGGGGATCCTGGGTGCGGGGATCCTGGGAAGCGGGATCAACTGCGAGATCAGAGTCCTCGAAACGAGCCATGATGGAAGGCGTTGGAATGTAGGAGGAAGTAGAAGGATGGATGAGCTTCTACTTAGGGGGTCACTGGATTCAGGACTCAGGGAAGAAGGAAGAATTGAAGTAAAGGAGAAAAGAAAAGGAGAAAAAGAGAAAATTGAAAATTGACTGATAAGGAAACAAGATGGCAAAGGAGGGAGTTCAGCAGAGTATATATACAAGCCAATATCTAAATACCTGGGACTCAAAAAGAACAAACGAAATTGGGTATTTTGCCATTGAGGTTACGAGGGATCCACTCACCGGGTATCATCATTCCTAGGAATTATCGTCATCATTTGGCAAGATATTGAAGGGTGGACCATACCTCAGGTATTCTTGCAATGAGACAGGCTTGTATAGGGTACCTGTCTCATTTGTGGCTGACACACTGTCTCGTCATGTACCTAATACACGGGATACTCTTCTTCCCGAATTGAATCAGAAAGACATTGATTGGATAGGACCAGACTCGCTGGGCCGAATATGAAGCAACGCAGTACGCCGAGTGGGTAGGACGAGGACAGAGACGGACAGACGATTGGATTAGAGCGCAGTTCGCCCGTGGACCGACATGAGATCGATGGAGCCGATGACGATCAGGTCAAACGCTCAAAACACCGTTTCGGTTGGTGATGTCATTGGACTGGAGCTTTGAAATTTACTAGTGGTAATTTTGCGGTTTTTTTTTTTTTTTTTTTTGTTTTATTATTTCTGATTTTACTTACAACATACATATTCTATTTATTTTATTAATATTTTATGGCTTGATGATAAAGAACAAAAGTCAGGACAAGGGTCAGGGATTCTGATTAAAAAGGGAAAGTATGGCTAAGTGCATACATTGCATATATTACTCCGTACATATGCAAAAGTTCAATTGAAATGAAATTATTAGAAAAGAAAAAGATTATATAATTTCCCAATTCCCAAGGTTGTCCTGCCCCTCCTGCCCCTCCCTCCACCTTCCTCCAACCCCTCCACCCCACTTCCCAACATCGTCATCGCTCTCCTAGCTCTCCCCACTCTTCCATCTTCGTATCTTCTAACAACTCACATCTTTTCCTCTTTCTATTCTCCAACTATATCCAAGTCTACATTGCAATCATGTCATCTGGAAAGTCTTTCACATTGAGCAACGGGGTAAACATCCCTGCCGTTGGTTTCGGTACCTTCGCCAGCGAGGGCTCTAAGGGTGAGACCTACGCCGCCGTCACTGCTGCCCTCAACACAGGCTACCGTCACCTTGACTGTGCTTGGTTCTACCTCAATGAGGATGAGGTCGGTGAGGGTATCCGTGATTTCCTCAAGGCCAACCCTTCCGTCAAGCGTTCCGACATCTTCGTGACCACCAAGGTTTGGAACCACCTGCACCGTTACGATGACGTTCTCTGGTCCGTCAACAACTCTCTCGAGCGTATGCAGCTCGACTACGTTGACCTCTTCCTTGTCCACTGGCCCATTGCTTCCGAGAAGGATGGCCAGGAGAAGCCCAAGATTGGCCCCGATGGAAAGGTGAAATTCCCTGCAACGAGCACACGAGCAGCTCATAACTAACCTGTTAATAGTACGTGATCCTCAAGGACCTGACCGAGAACCACGAGGAGACATGGCGTGCCATGGAGAAGCTGTATGCCGATGGCAAGGCCAAGGCCATTGGTGTGTCCAACTGGACCATCCCCCAGCTTGAGGCTATGGCCAAGTTCGCCAAGGTCCAGCCTATGGTCAACCAGATTGAGATCCACCCCTTCCTGGCCAACGAAGAGCTGGTGAAGTACTGCTTCGCCCACAACATCCTGCCCCAGGCCTACTCGCCTCTGGGCTCGCAGAACCAGGTCCCCACCACCGGCGAGCGTGTCAGCGAGAACAAGACCCTGAACGCTGTTGCCGAGAAGGGCGGCAACACCCTCGCCCAGGTTCTGATTGCCTGGGGTCTGCGTCGTGGTTACAGTGTGCTCCCCAAGAGTTCCAACCCCAAGCGCATTGAGTCCAACTTCAAGAGCATCGACCTCAGCGATGCCGACTTCGAGGCTGTCAACGAGGTGGCCAAGTCCCACTACTGCCGCTTTGTGAACATGCGGGATACCTTCGGCTACGATGTCTGGCCCGAGGAGACTGCTCAGGGTCTTTCCATTTAGATTCTGTGACCAATTTACAAAAAGACAAGAATAATATTCCCCAAACGGGGATTTTGGGGTGGAAATGAGTTAATGAACGGACTACGAACTCTGTTAGATGAATTGGACATACCATTTGATCTCACTCTATTTACTGTGTTTCAGCTGTACCGTACTCCGTAGATTGTACGACCCATGTGCATACTTAGGTATAACTCGGAATCTTTTTTTGAGCTCTTTCGTTTGACCTGGCCCGGATCACCCAATCTCACACACCGGCTGCCACAGCCTTCATTCCGTAGGTCCAAACACCCACCTAAGATCCACCCCTCAAGAATGTTTACATCCAATGAACGAGGCGAGTCAAACCAAACCAATGTGGAATAAGATTACACTGTTGTATACCCAATATTAAGATAATGGTAAGGAAATAATTGAAAAAAAGGAACATTGCAAAATTTGCAAAAAAAGGACCTACAGTTGTAACAGTGTATATAGTACAGTGCATATATAGTACAGAGTATACGTATTCTTAGAAGTATGGCCTAGGATCCTCCCAACCAATGAGCAAAACAAACCTTGGAATCACCCTTGAATGAGAAAGCACAACCTTAGGGTTACACTGTACCTGACAAGGCAACATCTTATTCGGAAATAATGTTACCAAAGCAGCCCAGAAAGAAAAATAAAAAAAGGGAATATCCAATATACAACCGTTGTATAACATTTGTATACCAAAAAGAAAATCCAACTCTAAAAAGCGGATAGCCAATTCCATCCAAAATAGGAGCAGAGTGCTCCGAGCCCTGCAGACGATGTCATCTCGCGTTGAACTTGTGGCTCTCGGAAACCCCTGCGCCACTCAAGGGGCTTAGCGTTCTCGCACGCTTACCGCATTCAGTCTTAGCGTTGCTGACTACTGTTCAGACACGGGAGATGTCGGATGTTGTTATGGGGTGTAATTTGGCGATGGGAAGATTATATTCGGATGGGGATATTGGTTGGTGTTAACACCGAAACGCCGAATAGGGTAATATGGGGGGGTTCTTGGATTGTGTGGTCAGAGCACATTGTTTTTGGTGTTTACTTTTGTACGGAATACAATATACATATTTGCCCATTGAATGTTTTATTAGCGCTTTAGGTGTTTATCTGCTATTGGTTTACGCTGCGGTGTCGATGTATCGTGCTAGTAGGTGCTAGTATAGTGTAGTTCTCTTCAAATGTTTCCATTGGACCGATGAGTGACGGGATGCATTTACAATTTTGAAAAGTACTCCGTACTTCGTACCCCGTATGGGATTTAATGCCTCATTTCTTGGGTAATGAAACATTCTTACTTTCTGGTTCGGGTTCTATGATGCCGAGTGTTGACATCGTGTATCCCGATTCAGCCGATAGAGGACACTCGGGAGGAACTTCGGGGGATTGTAATACATAGTTGAAGTTTGTTAACCTGTTTCTTGGGTCCCAGTAGGGAGAGTGGTGGGTAGTAGTATAACTATGTTGTATGGATACTGCGCTATTGGGATGATGCAGTCTGATTTGATTTCGTATTCATATTTGGAAATACTTGTAGGACAAAGTACGTACATATATTCGCTGCCCGTGGGACGCCATATGAGATACAACTGCATCTACAATTTATATTGTATGAAAAACATTGCAAATCCCCAGCGTAGCCAACTTGCAGACTTGCTCTGGGCTTTTGCAAATATCAAAACAAGAGATCAGCATGTATCGGCTATCGGTACGGGTAATAACCTTGGAAGACAACAGTATATATACTTTGTACAATTGGAGGTAACTTAATTCAGAAAAGACCTACAACTCTTGTATACAAACCAGTGGCATGAAAGGGATCATCAACGGGACAGACTCACAGCCCGCTGCAATATTGTAGTCTAGGGCTTGTCAAAGCGGCTACGTGCATAAACTAGGACTGCGCAAATATTTTTCAACCCGAGGATTGTAGTCAGAGAATGAGAATACAAAGGACAACCTTCCAAAATTGGAAATTAGAATGCCCCTCATACAAATCCCGAAGTTTGGAGGGGTAGCGTGGCGCAACGGCACAGACGTCATTCTGCATAGGGCAGGTGAACCGTGCAGTTGATCTTATCATCTTATCTTGATCAAGAGGAGGTGAAAAGGTTTCAATATCACTAAGAATGCATATGTGAAATGAAGAAAACAAAACAAGCAATTGGTATCTCAAAACACAAGCAACTCCCCATATACATAAAGAGTGTCAGAATGGGAACCGAGGTATAAAAGGACCGTAGAGAAGGGGTATAAGAGTCGTTATAATCCAAAAATCCAAAAATCCAATGAGAATCGCGCCACATGGGGGAGTAACAATCATGATCTCGACCGAACACGTCGAGCTGTGGGCGTGCACCCTGCGCTCATCTGAAGCATACTCTGTCGCTGTGCATCGTCTGTGCTTTGTGAGCTGCGAGTGGGGATGCCACTGACGAAAGGCTGATCCGCGGTAGTGTTAGCACTCTTGGAAGCTCGTGCGGGGAGCTTGGACGAGCTGGGAGATCTGGGAGCAAGCTTGCGGCGACCCTTAGTAGGTGTGGAGGGGGCAACAGCAGCCACAGTGGGTGCCGAGGCTGCGGGAGGCTTGCTTGTGCTGCGACTTCCAGTCTTAACTGGGGTACCGGACCCTAAGATTCCTGAGTCGCCCAAACGCCTCACCCGGCGTGAGCGCGGGGTTACAGTAGGAGGTGCAGTAGTCGGGGTTGGGCCGCTCTCGGTAGCCCCACTGTCTGCATTATCGTCTGCCTTTTGTGTTTGGCTACGGCTGCTGCGGTGACCCGACTCTGCTTTCCTCGCTGAGCGCTTGCTTTCTGGTCGCGGGCGAGGCGTTGCGCCCACGTCATCTGTGCATCGGTCACCCTCCTCTTCATCTTCCTCGTCTATTGGCTCTCTGTACTCTTCATACTCGGCCATGCGCTCCTCGTTCCACGACACTTGCTTTCGCGGTTTGTTCAGCCCGCGGAAACTAGTGTCCTTGGAATTAGAGTTCTCATTCTGTGAATTGTCCAGTTGGAGCTCTTCCTGGCTCGACTGTTGAGCCAGAGCTTCCAGGGTGACCATGGGAGTTACAGATTTACCCTTGTTGAGCCGAGTATTGCGCTTTGTAGCCATAGCCACCTGCTGGCTCTCAGTTCGCTGTTGAAAAACGAATTCTGTCCCTTTAGCTCGGCGGAATGAGATAGTGTTGCGCATGGCAGGGGTACTCGAGCCTTTAGTACGGGTGCTTCGACGACAGGCAGGGCTTGAAGGAGCCTCTTCTTCCTTGATTTCTTTGGGGATGATATCCTCCCGGTCATTGGCACCATCGACACCACGCTTGAGGCCATATTTACTAGGCGAGAATTGCAACTTGACAGGTGAAGGTGAGTTGACTGTCAGCTCCTCTAACACGCGGCGTGGTGGCGGTGTTGAGCATTCAACCTCTGGCGACTCCTCTGGACTGGAAGACATCTCCGCTGATTTCGCATCTTCAGGGTGCGTGGCCTTGGCGGCCCGCTTCGCATTCGCCCTGGACAGGAAGTCGTTGAGGAGATCTGCATCCTCTCCATCCAAAGAGCTTCGCAGTGCCGATCGTACCAACTTGATCTCTTGCTCTTGCGTCAGGTCTTGCACGGACTCTGTGGTAGACATGGCGTTGGCCTTGTCCTCTCCTGCACTGTCGATCGCACCCAGAGCGTCTTGGCTGGATGGTCTATACTGCAGATCCTGCGCTGTGTTTGCGTCGGATACTGTAATATTCAAGTCCGTGGCCATAGCGTCGTTGTAAACCGGCGTCTTGGAAGTCTTGCACAAATCGCTGAGCGGCTGGGGTGACGCATTCGTAGCTACGTCGCCAACAACATCATTGAGCGTTCCCTTAGTTTGGTTCGCAGTGAAACCAAACACCTCCTGGGAGCCCTCGTCGTGGATGTTGAAATTGAATTCGGGCAACTTGCCTACAAATTATCAGATAAAAGGTCGTTCTAAAGGCGGGACAGTGAGATGTGATACGTGATTTGTACACGGCTCGCATCGCATAATATATAAAAAGAACTTACGTCGTTTCCGAGACGCCTGCATCTCCCATTTTGTCTCAAGGAAAGACCGACCACGTTGCTCGGCCTCAGTCTCGTGGCCCGCATCGGCGGGGTCAACACACTGGCGCTTCACGCCGCGCTGATAATCCGAGGTTTTCGAGGCGCCGATCGCCGAGGTCTGACTTTCTGTCGCAGTATTCATGCTGGTAAACGGAAAGCGAATGCGCTTCCACAGCTTTCGTGTCTTGTCTCCGGCTCGGACAGGCGTCGAAGGTTTGCGATCCCACAGTCGCGGCAACGCGCTCAGAGCTTTGATAGGCGTGAAACTGAAGGAACTTTCAGTGGGAGGGTTGGCAGAACTGCTAGTGCGTCAGGCAGTTTGTGTTAGCCTCAAGTTTATATGGCGGTGTATCAAAATAAAGGGGAAAGGGGAAAGGTGATAAAGCCCCTGAGCAAGAGGTGCGAATGACCCGTTTGATACAAAGGAAACAAAACAAATATCGAATCCAACATCAGAAAGAAAGAAAGAGTTGACATACCATGCTTGCGGTGAGGGAGGATGATTCTCCATTGTTGTTGATGCGCGTGGAATGTGTCAAAACCGTTGGAATTTTGATTTGGCGAGGTATGTTCGAGTGATTTATATTAATCAAGTCAAGTTATCTAATATAATGCCGGGAAAAAAATAATGCAAATCAAAGATCGCAACTGAGCGTGCCCCTCAGTAAAATGTCGGATTGTCGTGATGGATGCGAAAGTTATGAAGCGGGCCGTTGTGGTTTTGCTTTGTCTTTTAGCCCGTTGCCCTGCCAACCACCGCATGGGAGCCCAACGTGGACATAGTGTCGATCATGAATACCCTAGATGTTGTATATGTTGTATAGAATCTCATTTCGAAGTCGCGTGATATGTAATAATTCAATTCCAGTCCATGCCAGACCTCAAATGGTGACGAATGTGGTATATCCATGGATATCTTGACTATCTATATCTTAGCCAATGAAAGTACTGGCAAACTATGGCGAGGCACGAATATATATATACTCTACAATACTAGTAAAAGGAGGTTGAAATCATAATGGCTCGGAGGGTTTACTACATCTTACATATTGATTCCCCCGAAGCTCGGGCATAGAATGTGTTTATAGCAAAGCCATCTACCTACAAGGATGACAGGCGATGATGCTTTTAGATAGCATGGACTGATCCTAGAGATAGCCTTGAATAGCTTTCTTTTACACTGCGACAGTGACTTGAAGCAGTTTCGCCTACAGATGTCCCCCACAGGTAAGTGAAGACTGTCTGGCCATTTTAGACCAAATGTACTCCAAGGACCGTGAGCTAAAGAATCAAGTCGTATCTCATTATTCATATCGTATGCTGGCAGACAATCTCCCAATACGCAGAGACTCATAGCAACTTCTCTGCCAAGTCACGTTCATCGAACGGGTCCCCGAATTCATCTGAACAGAAACGAGCCAGTCAGCACATTGTACAGCCATCCATGAATACCAAAACAACCCCAAGCTCGACCTAACAGAGATAGGAAGTCACATACCTAGCTTGAAATCTTTATCAATAATATATTCCATAGCACGCTGGTACTCCTCTTGAGCACGCTTGCTTTTCCATGCGGCGACACTTGCGTCAACCGTCTTCTCCGCAGTCTGTCCACCGTGCTGTTCCAACGCAGTCCCAATATCACCAACAGAGGCACCAGCCTCCTGCTTTGTCTGGGATCCAGGAGGGGAAAGCTCCGATACGTCAGCGCCAGCCGAGGAAGCTTGGGCGATGCCGGTCGGAGTGCGGGCGCCGGTTCTAGCGCTGTCGTCCGGACGGATGGAGTCGACGGAGGAGGTCATTGTGGAGTCACCGTCTGGGTCTTTGTGATCTGGTAGGTGTTTGTTAATGAATGTAACCCCCGGGTTTGTAGTTTGTAGCGAGGTAGAAGAGGCGGGTGCATATGTGGGTAATAGAGCGCTATCGATATCGCGGGCCCACTGTGCCTCTCTCGGCTACTTCGTATAGCTTTTGCAGGAATAGAGGAAACCTACCAATCGCCATTGTTGGGCATTAAAACGAAATGGGTTAGATGGTTTGTAGTTTCTAGAGTTCTCAAAACTTCCAAGGCGTGGGGAGTGGAGAGAGATCAACGGTCGACAGGCGGTGGCCCCCCGAGGCTCTCGCATGAATTTTCTTCTTCTTTCTTCCCCAGCTTATATACTCCATGAACATACCAATCATTGCTGGCCTTTGTGATTAGCGTATTTTCATTAGATTTGTTTTCGATATTTTCCTTTTCTATTTTTAACCCTGCTATCGTCATTATACGTGCAATGAGCGCAAACTCCGGTGCAGTTCCCGACGTCTGGGAGGATTCGTGGGAAAACCAAGCAGATGTACGTAATATCAGGGGAACTATGTGGCGTTTGGGACAGACTCTAGCCTGCCATTCAAGTCTATTTAATGATTGGAAGTTATGAATGATATGCTGATGGCCATCGTTTACAGAAACTCGACTCCAAGTCTACCCCGCCGTCTGAGAAGAAAGTCTCATCCAAGGTCACCAAGGCGCAACGCAGGGCGGAACAGGCAGAGTTCAATCGCCAGCTATGGGCTGAAGCGTAAGTTTCAATTGCCAGCTAGCACCATCGCATTTATTTGGGATGTTCAAGAGACTGAACTGGGTTGCAGCGAATCCACAGAAACATTCCATTTCGTTGAAGCGCGCGCCGATGTTCCCCTGAAGCAAGACTTCAAGCCCGCAGTTACACTACTGAGTCGGAAACCTCAGCTTGTGACAAGACATTCGTCATCATCCCCGAGAACAATTACCGCCGCAACTGCTGGACTTGGCGGACTTGGACTAGACGATGACGAGGACTCGGACGATGACACCAAGCCGCCCCAGCCAACACCCGAGGAGCGCCATGCTATTGCATTGAAGAATCGGGAGGAGAAACAGCGGAAGTACGAAGAAGTGCGCGAACGTCTGTTCGGAAGCCCATCTGCTACAGCTTCGAGTACCTCGTCCCCTGGCAGCACAACCCCGCCTCGTCAAAATTCTACAGGCGAGGGCAAGGGGAGAGGCAAAGGACGTGGCGGCGGAAGAGATCAGCAGAAGAGAGATTCCTCGTCGACCTCGAGCAAGTCCTCTAAACACCTCTACGATCCCTCCACTTCGGCCAAGTCAAATGCACCCTTCCTACAGAGAGGTGGCCGTCCGCTAGTTGAGCGAAGCGGCTCTGACACTCAGGCTCCGCAGCAGCCAGTGCGCAGTCCCCGAGGCCCTGATGCAAGTGGAAGAGGTGGCTTCAATTTCAATCGAGGTGCTCGAACAGGCTAATGTACATTTGGCCAATATCTTTTCGTCCTAGGACGCTGGCCGCCACATACCTTGGATGTTTTCTGGTTAAGGGAGGCCTCGTCCTGCGTTAATTGCATTTGCGACCTGGGATGTGTTTGGACGGTTTTCTGTGACATGAAGTGTTAACAGCGCCATGGAAAAAGCGACATGCAATACTCACGGGCATATCGTTCATAGCTGTCATGGTACAGCTCATCCGTACTAGTCGTCGCCTGCACATGCTGGTTGGTCTCGATTGCATTCATCCAAATGGCCAGTCTGCTTCCCTCCTCAGCATCTGGCCATCCTCGGTATGGTTTCAGGACCCGCCGCAGCCGAATAATCCACGGGGCAGCTTGAACGTCCACAAGGGACATCTGCGGGCCCATGAAGAAAGGCCCCTTAGGGTGCGCTACTTCGAGCAGCTTCTCCATCGCACCTCGCAGCTCCTGTGTCTTCTCGATCTGTTTCTGTTGGTCCTGCTCTTGCAGTATACGGTAGAAACTCGGCACGATATGCCGATTGACCTGGAGGGTTATCAGTGATGATCACCACAATAGACCTGTCTGCCTACTTACATGATCCGCCCACAACCGGCAATGGGCGCGCAGCTTTGGGTCTCCTGGAAGCATTGCAGCTCCTACGCCCAAATCCTCCAGCTTCGAGGGATTGGTCAGTAAGGTAAATGGGGAATTGGCCATTCGGTTCTCTTACATATTCCAGCAACACGTTGCTTTCATAGCAGCCCCAGTCATCGTGCCGCAAAGCAGGAACAAGCCCTCTTGGGTTCACCTCTAACAGCGATTGGGGCTTCTCGTACGGATCCACTTCGATGTATTGGTACGGGATACCTTTCAGTTCCAATGCGATCCATACGCGTTGCACGAAGGGGCTTCAAACATGCAGGTCAAGTCAATACACAACAAGATTTCGTCAGAACAAGTCAAATCTGAGGGGATCTCACCAGAAGCAGCTCCCAAATAACTTGAGATTAACATCGGCAGAATGGTTGATCGCAGTTTCAGCGGCCAGACCCGTCGCTTTTGTATGGTATGACTTTTGGCCTGTTCGGGACATGACTCGGTCCTATTGTGTATTCTGTGTTAAAGCTGCACAATCCAAAAAGCTAGAAATGGAAGCAAAAAAAGATGAAGACTTGGTCTTTGGCAAGTGGGATATATGAAGTCAATGTAGACATGTGACGTAGCCGAGATCATGCGGGAATACTCGTCCACAAATGAACAGAACAAAACAGGATTGACATACCGTTCTCGTTCTTTTGTCTTTCTTTTCCTTCAGGACATATCGTTGCACACTACTCTTCTTGACACGGTCGCTTTCTTCAAGCGTATGTTGATGACCGCCACTCACTCCGTCATTCTTTCCGTTGGCACCATTGCCGTTCACCCGCTGTATAGTGAAATATCTCCCGCCATTCGATCCCGGATGATTTGGTGGTAGACCAGGGTTCGGAGTGAGCATACCGAATGTTTGGACATTTCGGATCGCAGGGTCATCATTCAGAGAGAATGTATACATACCAGGCAGGATGTTAGATGGCAATGGCTCGACTGGAGGGGTTGTATTTGATATTTCCGACACTGGGAAGTATTCCACGACTTTGATTTTGACATGGCAGAGATCCCGTTCTCTGGCCGTACGCTTGCGCTTCTTTTTTTCTGGGTCATCGGACTTGGGGGTTCCGGGAGGCCGTCCTTTGAGTCGACAGTCCCAGTAATGAGAAACGAAGGGTTTACGCTTGTACCGTTGGGTTGAGCGATGAGAGTATACATTGTCAACGTGGGGGAAGTATGTTTGGAATCTATAGAAATTCCCAAGTCAGCCTCTCGACAGAGTAGTAACAATCCCAAGAATGGAGTCTGCATACTCCTCTTCGCTCAGGGTGATCATTTCATCAACATTGAACAATCGATCTCTCCAGTAATCCAAATGCGGAGGATTTGGAACCACTTTGAAGCCTTGCAGCTCCCCAGGCCCAGTAAAGGACACCGGATCCGCGGAGCCAGAATCTAGCTCGATAAAATCCGATTGAAACGGTTGACCTGAGGACTGCAACGTTGGTAAGCCGTTATTCCGAGCTTGATGCGCGTTATTCCCCATCGCTAGCTCGTTCTGTGACAGCGACGCTGGAGGTGCCATTTGTCCAGTACCAGCAGCATGCAATGCCGCGCTCATATTCGCTGCATGAGTGACACCATTGGTATAGTCCTGCGATTGGGGTAAACCATTGGAGGATTGCCCTTGCGGTTGTAGGTGCGAGACAACGCCATTGCTATGATGACCTTGGTGTGATTGGTGTTGTGTGGATGAAGACGCGGTGATGAAATTGTTCGCTGGTTCGCCTGATCGTGGAGGACGAATAAACGCATGCGTCGCATTCTGGAGCTGTGATTCAGCTTCTTCGGTCGGGGGACGGAATGAGCCGAAGGGTTGTGATTCTGGGTCAAATTGACCCAACTGTAGGTTGGACTCGTTTATTGGCATGGAAGGTCCTAAGCGGGGAGACGACAGTCGCAGTTCAGAGTCCATCTTGTAAATAATAAAGTTGTGGAGAGGCGTGCTGCTTTTGGAGAGAAGAAGGGCGGTTGAAGCGGCATTGTGGGGTTTGAGGGAAGCTCGGATCATCTTGAGGTTCTCAGGTACAAAAAAGACATGTCTGGGCATCAATGGGGGTTCTCTTTATTTTTGAATTGGTTATTGAGATACATATTTATTCTATTTCAAAAAGGATTAAGATATCAAGATATTACCATCTATTCGCATTGAATCCATAGATGCAGTATTGATTCCAATGAACATCCTTGGCAGCTTACAGACCCTTGCCATGTTTCTTCGCTGCTTCCGAATTCTTGAAAGGGAACCCAGTTGTCCTCTTGTCTGCACCCGTATAGCGACTGATCCTGCCATTGCTGCTAGCAAAGAGCATGCACCACAACCCAATGGCCGCAATACTAGAGTATCCAGCAACACCAACAGCAAAGAGACCCTGTCCACCGGTAACATACCAGGTGTACGCGTAGAAAGCACATGCAGCATGGAAGATAGAGGTCACCATAAGAGTGGGTATAGCGTATGGCGCCTTGGGATCGTCTTCATCTGTTGTTACAGAGTCTTTAATTTCGGATGTCAGAGGGATGGAGCCGGTTAACATCATGGTCAACACGGCGATAGTAAGAAGACTGAAGCCGAGGCACCGGGCGAAGTAGATTTCCATGGCTTTTGAAGGGCGAAGGATTAGCATGGGTCGTAAACGGGTGCGTGCGGTATTTTTCAGGATGTGTGCCACATACGGGAAACAGGCCGAGTCTCGTCGAGCAGCATAGTCACTATCATGCTCGGTCCAGCAATCAAAGGTAAACTCTGAAGTGCCAGCCATGCGGCCGTCGAGTATGTGTAGGCGCGAAAGACCTGTCAAGTTAGCTTTTAGCTCCGTCTATCTTCCGTAGCCTCTGGAAACAGTAATAGGATTGGCTCACATCCATGATGGCAGTCCACTGGTATATGGTCTTAGAACCTCCTTGCGCAATTGAAGTATGTAGCTCGTGTCAAAGATGGTCGGGTCCTGCGAAGATGAACCTTGGAAGCTTCCAAGCGAACGTTTCTTTTTTTAAGGCTGAAGCATTATAAACAAGTGACGTCATACATTTCTAGTGCTGTTTGACTTGTTTGAACATGCAAGACGAAGACAAAGATGGGATCAAGATGATATTTGATTACTTTTGATATATTGACTAGGATGAATGCAATGAATGAAATGCACCTTTTAAGACCATAAACTCCTAAAGACCGAAAGAGCCCATTGAAAATAAACAAGACCCAACAAATGCTGTTTTGCGGGAGTTGTTCACTGTTGCATATTGCTCGCGCGCAAATATCTTGTGAAGCTGTTGTCATGTTCTGTTGCAGCACTTTGGGAGCCTGACAGAGCCTCCTGATAACGTTGGGAAAGACCCTCATCATTGTCAGCATTAGGGCCCACATAGTCTTCATAATCACTGTCTTCTCCATCTGCCAACCCGCGCTTAATGATATCATCCTCTTCATCTTCGGCTTCACTGACAGTTTCAGGCTCTCTGGCAGGTTGCCTCGGCTGCCCGCTTGACCCAGACACACTCATGTCTTTCATTAATTTTCCAAGTTCAAGCTCCCGCTGGGATGATGTTTGATCTTCCCGCTCTTTCTTCTTGCGCTCCAATTCGGGCTTGTAATCGCGTTCAAACTCCTGTCGCTTCGTCTCCACGGCCTCAAAGAACTCTTCGACACCATCACCGGTCATTGAGCTGACGCCAACAACGCTGAGGTGTCGATAGAATTCTTCCAACATGAGACTCATGCTGTTCAGAAGCGATCCCATGTATCCGCTGCCAGAACCAAAGCCACCGGCACCGCCTTCAGCTCCAAATGCACCTGAGTCTTCCTCCTGTCGCAGAGCCTGCTGGAATGCATCAAAGTCGGTCATCCATTCCTTGGCAAATTCAGCGTCCTTCACGTCAGTCTTGTTGAAAACCAAGATCATGGGGAGCTTGGTCTTGTACAAGATACTGCATGCGTAGAGCATGTTGCTCATAAAGGTGCTGGTAGAGCTTGCGCGAGGTGTATCGATAACATATGCGATTACGGTCGGGAATGATGTCGCCATAGTCTCGAGAAGGATACTACCCGATGCACTCCAGACAAAGACTTCGATTTGGCCGGGTGTGTCGACCAGAATGTGTTCGATTGGCTTCACAGAAGGGTTTTCGGGGTTTGGAGCGGTGCGCTTCTCCAAGAGCGAAATGATTTGATCGACCTTGGTGGCGAAGAGATTTAACGAAGTCAAGATTCCTCCATTAGGACCCAGGTTGTACTGCTTCATCACTTCTTTGTAATTAATGGAGTCACGGATATCGATGTTGCTCTCGAAGGGAACCGAATGCACCGCGGGGTCGAGATTGACCACATATGGTACGGTCTTCTTTTCATGCAGATAGGAGTTGATTCTTTGCATGAAGGTCGTCTTGCCTGAGCCTATTCAATCCATAATATTGACGATTAGATCACTGCAGATAAGTGAGGGGCGATCAGCATATCAGCATCCTTACCTGCCATGCCCACGCAGACCACGGACACCGGAGATGCCATAGTGAAGGTAGTTTATGAAAAGAAAGACTTGATTAAGCGATCGAAATACAGAGACCTCTGTGACCGAAATGTATTGTTCAAGGGTGGAAGACAAGTGAAGAAAGACAAACTTCTTTTTTCTGCTCGAAATCTTTTTTTTGTCGCGGGGAACGATCTACGGTTTGGACCGCCCGGCATTTTATCAACGTCATTCCAACATTTTTGCCCTTTGCTCTAGTTCCACCCCCTTTTTCACATATCAGGAGCACCATGACTCTAGAAGACTTTGAGAAGACATTGGCAGAGGGGAAAGAGCAGCGACACGAAAAAAGCGAAGGGCGACACCATCGAGACCGAAATCGCGATCGCGACCGCAGCAAAGACCGCTCGAAACAACACCGCCATCGTTCCAGCAACCATCACCGGCGGCATTCCTCCAGATCTCGCGATCGGGCCAGCGAGCGAGTTCGTGAGTCCCGGCATCGCGACGACGATGGCCACCGGCACAAGCGTTCACGTCGTTCCGACGACCAAGGAGACGAGCATGGTCATAAACGTCATCACCGGAGCTCCAAAGACGAGGGGGATCCGCTGCTCCCCAAGTAGTAGTACAAGAGGAGCCCACTAATCCCAAACGGGATGCCTGGATGGAAGCTCCCTCGGCTCTCGACGTTGATTATGTTCATCGACCGGATTCGACGCGACAGGAGGAGCCAAAACCAATAATGCTTTCGGCAGACTACGAACTCAAGATCCACGACAAGGAGCTCAACGACCATTTACGTGATCTCAAGGATGGAAAAACAGTCGACGAGATAGCAGATGAGCCTGCCCTACACGAGGTGGACTATACCTTTGGGGATTCTGGATCACAATGGAGAATGACGAAGCTCAAAGGCGTATACAGAGAGGCGGAAGAAAGCGGCAAGTCTATTGAGGATATTGCTATCGAGCGCTTTGGAGACCTTCGTTCCTTTGACGACGCTCGGGAGGAGGAAACCGAGATTGGTCGGCGCAAAACGTACGGCAACTCCTACGTGGGCAAAGATAAACCTAGCGGGGAGCTGTTCCAGGAAAGGAAGCTTCAAAATGATATCCGAAGAGGTCCGCTCGAGCATGTTCGTGATCCAGAGCAAGAACTCAAGACCGAAGGCCAAGGCAAGAAACTGGAGACTGCGCCTCCACCGCAGACTACCCGTCACCTCGATATGACGGCGTTGAATCGTCTGAAAGCCCAGATGATGAAGGCAAAGCTTAGAAAAGCACCAGATGCCGCCGGTCTTGAGGAACAGTACAATACAGCCGCGGCAGCAATGTCAAACCGCAAGGAATCCGATGTCGTGGTCCTTGATGTTATGCATAACCCAATGCTAGCAGGCTCAAGGAATGAGGTCAAAGCCATCGATACTAAGAGAGGTCGGGAAAGAGGCCAGGTGGAAGCAAACGAAGATATGAGCATTGAAGACATGGTGCGAGAAGAGCGCAAAACCCGTGGCCAACTCGGCGGAGAGGGCCGGCGGTTGGCAGATCAAATTGGCCGTGATGCCAAGTTCGAGGTCAGTCCTAAATTTATGTGCGATGCTCCCTGTTTCCCCTGCTAACCTATGTCCAGAACGATTTGGAGTATATGGATGACAATGCGTCCAAGCTAGCCAAAAGAGTCCATCGATCTGAGGTTGACCTCAAAAATTCAACGATCAATGACTTCCACAAGATGAACCGGGTATTGGACAACTGTCCCCTTTGCCACAACGAAGACAAGGGCACGCCTCCACTTGCCCCAGTGGTATCCCTCGCGACCAGGGTTTTCCTCACACTTCCTACCGAGCCCGAAATCAGTGAAGGAGGTGCCACCATCGTACCAACCCAACATCGCACTAATTTGATGGAATGCGATGACGATGAGTGGGAAGAAATCCGCAACTTCATGAAGAGTCTCACGCGCATGTACCACGACCAAGGTCGAGATGTAATCTTCTACGAGAATGCCGCCCAGCCACAGCGCAAGCGACATGCGTCCATGGAAGTCGTGCCTTTACCCTACAGCCTAGGAGAGACCTCTCCTGCATTCTTCAAAGAAGCAATTCTCAGTGCCGAGTCGGAATGGTCGCAGCACCGCAAGCTTATCGATACTCTTGCCAAATCGAAGCAAGGCTTAGGCCGGTCTGCATTCCGCCGAACTCTTGTAAAGGAGATGCCCTACTTCCACGTTTGGTTCGAACTAGACGGTGGCCTAGGTCATATTGTGGAAGACAACAACCGCTGGCCTCGTGGAGATCTCTTTGCCCGAGAGATCATTGGTGGAATGCTGGATGTTGCGCCGGATGTCATCAAACGACAAGGACGCTGGAACCGTGGTGATCGCAGGGTTGACGGTTTCAGAAAACGCTGGAAGAAGTTTGACTGGACCCGTATTCTGATTGAGGGCTAGTGAGCTTGGAATTGGTCCCTCGACACAATTGTATTTTACACGGAAATTTACGTGAACCGTAGCGAGTTTCATTTTTAAATTTGAAAAAGTCGCCATGGTCTTGAACTTTCTTTTATTCCACAAGTATCACACAGGACTAGGATAAACACACCACTCATGGCCAACATGTTAGTATGTCAACAGATAAGGACCTCGGCATTCGAGCCGATGGCTACGGGACGAGACACCGAGCACCAGATGTTTGTTTCTCTATAGAACGGAGATCAGCATAACAGCCGATATCAGTCAGATCTTCCAAGATTTCGAGTGTTCATTATACAAACACTAAAGCCCTGGAGGAGACGGGGAACTGCCCGATAAGCGTGGGGCACTTTTTCTCCTTGTCGGCCGATGCTTAGTATAACTATATAATCTATGAATTTATCTGTCTTCTCTTTCTTTAAATCTGTTTGAGTCTCAATCCTCCTGCAACAACCAAGTCAATTGGCTAGATCAGACATCGGCTGTGAGCTTTCTTATCGGTAAGTTGAAATATGTCAAGAGAAGGCGTCGGGATACTTTGACCCGACGTAAAATGGGAGGGAGAATCGTTTGAATACCACACATCTCTCGCCTGCTCAAATAACTAATTGTCTCGCTCAACACAGAATTAACTACCAACATATCAGAATGAGCTCTACCAGCCCCAAACCCAAGGTTATTCATCTTGGGACTATCGACCAGTGCGTTCCCTCCTTTTTTCTTTGTGCCATTGATATCCAATTCACAATATTAACAATCTTCGAACACAGTGCGCAGGCAGCCTGGAGTGCATTGGGTGAAATCGCAGAACTAGTTGAGTCATCGGCAACCAACCGAGCCGAGTTCATCCAAGAGTGCAAAGACGGCAAGCTGGACGGCGTTGTTGCGATATACCGAACAATTGGCTCTGTGACCCTAACAGGGCTCGTAGACGATGAGCTATTGAATGTGCTACCAAGCTCACTCCGATATATCGCGCACTGTGGTGAGTCGAGATTGGTATATGAGTGTTGAAATGGGTACATGTTGACGTGCGACCTCCATAGGAGCCGGATATGACCAAGTGGATGTTCATGCGTGTAGTGCACGCAACCCTCCAATCCGGGTTTCCAATGTCCCAACTGCAGTGGACGATGCCACTGCCGATGTGAACATGTTCCTGATTCTTGGCGCATTGCGCAACTTCAACGCCGGTATGAACGCCTTGCGCGAGGGAAAATGGCGTGGCAACCCGGTGCCTTTTCTCGGCCATGATCCTCAAGGGAAGGTCCTTGGGATTCTGGGAATGGGTGGTATTGGGCGTAATTTGAAGAAGAAGGCAGAAGCCTTTGGGATGAAAGTCATTTATCATAACCGCCGCGAACTCAGTGATGAGATGTCTGCAGGTGCTCAATATGTTTCTTTTGAAGAGCTCTTGTCCACCAGTGACGTGGTCAGCTTGAACCTGCCATTGAATGTAAGTGATTTTCCAGGTCCAAAGAAAACGAAGTATGTTATGATGCTAATTAACCACTTCAAGAAAAATACACGCCATATCATCGGCAAAGCCGAGTTCGCCAAGATGAAGGACGGCGTGGTAGTGGTCAACACTGCCCGCGGTGCTGTCATGGACGAAGCTGCTCTGGTTGATGCCCTGGATAGCGGTAAAGTGTTCTCAGCTGGTCTCGATGTTTTTGAGCGAGAGCCTCAGATTCATCCTGGGCTGCTCAGTAACCAGAATGTAATTCTGGTTCCCCATATGGGTACTTGGACGAGTGAGGTGAGTTGTGTATTTTCCCATAAAAGATGACATGGAACTGACTTGCCAAAAGACAATGCTTGCCATGGAAGAATGGACAATTGGGAACATCCGTATGGCTCTTGAAGTTGGAAAACTGAAGAGCCCAGTTCCGGAACAGGCCGACCTTTAAAGACAGGGCTTTGAAGATGTACATTGTATCTATGAATAACCTTGGACGACCCTCAAACTCACTCGGGTTTTAGGCTCTTGCTGGCTTGGGACATGAGAACTGTGAAAATTGCAGTGAGGGAGGTGTGTATGTAGGTTTCTACTCGACGTACGTATGTCACTGGTTGTCTCAATAAACCTCACACCTACTTAGCCTGCATCCTCATGTAAGCGCCCCTTATTATCATCCACCTGGGGATAGATTCAGCATCGGAAGGCCGCCGCCACTACAAAGCCCCTATCATCCCGAACTACCAACAGCGCTCAAAAATCTCGTCTCACTTCTGTCCACGTTTATGCAAACGGGTCTGTCGAATATTCACTAGGACCTCGATAACAATAGTACAACCACGTGATTATCCATCCGCCAATCCTTCCTGTCTCCTGTCTCCTGTCTCCCAACGGAATACATATATATATATATATATACCGCAAAAGATTTATTGGTGATGTGATACCTTCAGACGTGCTGAAGATATTACTTCAAATGATGCTTCATGGACTTGACTACCTCCACTCTGAGTGCCATGTTGTTCATACTGGTTTGTCTTGTGTTTCTGGTTAACAAAAATGTTAAACTAATTGATCCCAGATTTGAAACCAGACAATATAATGATCAAAGTTGAGGATCCATCTATTTTGGAAGGATCCGCCAGAGATGAATACCAACATCCTCTGCCGCAGAAGAGTTGCTCGGATGGCCGCACAATCTATCTATCTCGGAATGACTTCGGCATTTCCCAAGAGACCACAGGGATAATCCAAATCACTGACTTCGATTTATCTGTGCGTGGGGATAAGCCGAACAGAGGGTGTATCCGGGCGGAAATATATCGAGCTCCAGAGGTTATTCTGGATGCAGGCTATTCGTATAGTGCCGATATCTGGAGCTTGGGTCATGGTATGTCTAGAACTATATTATTACCATATTAAAGCTGACGTCGTTTTGTTAGTTATGGGATGTTCTTGAAGGCAAAAAGCTGTTCAAGGACGCTGATCCCCTTCAAGTTCAAGAGTATGATGAGCTTAACCATCTTGGTCATATTGCTGCATTGTTATGCCCTCCTCCAAAGGAACTCCTAGGCAAAGGAACAAGAACTGATCTCTTTTACAAACCAGACGGTGAAAGCGTTCGCTGACTTACTTTAATAGGGCAATTCAAAGGCACAACCATTGCACCATCGAACTTCAACTTTGAAAACTCAATATGCCACATACATAATGAGGATAAGAGGATGTCCATCGAGTTCGTACAAAGGATGATCAAATGGCACCCAGAAGAACGAAGCACTGCAAAGGAACTACTCCAAGATCCGTGGCTTTATGCGGAGCTTGACGATTGAAATGAGTGTAAGAAGCATACTGGATCTGTTATCATTGTCCAGTTTAGTAGAGAAATCCCGCTCTCCAGGATAAATAACTCTCTTCGCTCTTTTTTACCTTCCATATTTTGCCTCGAATAGGAGTGTCTAGCCTTGTATGTTGTACATCGTAGATCGCAGGTGGTGTATAACTCTCTCATTGGTTATTACCTCACCGCCTGGTTCATTACTGTTTTATTTGTATACTATACACTTTACAGACTCAATTCAGACTCAATTCATATTCAATTCAGATTCAGTTCAGATTCAGTTAGTAAGATAGTAAGGTAGTAAGAAATCAAGAGTCAAGACTTAAGACTTAGGAGTATAAAGAGCCCGGTGTTAAAAAATTAATATCGTATTTGTTAAACAATCGCCTATATATATAGTTATATATATGTTTGCCCTATTTGTTCGTTATTTACTATTTGTTAGCTTGTTTACTATGATCAAGCAGAGTTTAGATGGTTTTAGTAGGGTATATAAACCCCTACATTTCTAGTTTAATCAATTAATAATTCTTCCTCTGCTTTCTTCCCACATAGTAACAGGTTGCTCAACAGTATTCATTTATAAAAAATACTATATAAAGTAACTATAGATTCAACATGGTACTTGTGAAGTGAGAGTGGATCTCAATTATTGCCTGGCAATATAAACCAATGAGAGAGTTATGTGTCGGATGGCATCGCCCGTAGTGGTGAACGGAAATTCTGTTTGATTGGCCAAAAGAGTGGGGCAGTTTTCTGCCGGGCAATATCAATGCGATCCAAGTCTCGATCAATCCACCTACTTGTCTTATTTGAACTCAGCACTCCGTCATGTCTGAATTCTGGAAATCAGCAGTAAGTCCATGTTCTTGCCTGTCTAGAAACTTGCTAACCATGTCACAGCCGCGCTACTGGTGCAAACAGTGCAAGATCTTCATCCGTGACACGCCCTTCGAAAAGACCCAACACGAAGCCAGCCCAAAACATCAAGGCAGCCTCAAGCGCTTCCTTAGACAAATCCACAACGACAATGAACAAAAACAACGAGACTCACAGCGCGCGAAATCCGAAGTCGAGCGGTTGCGACAGGCCGTCAGTGGCGAGCCCTCCACTGAGAAAGACAGTGCGAAAGGAAAAGCGCCGCCAGCCCCCAAATTCACAGAACGCCCTGCTTCCCTAGAGGACCGAAAGAAACAGATGGCACAGCTTGTGGCAATGGGGGTCGCCGTCCCTCAGGAATTCCGCGCCGAGATGGCCGTAGCAGGGGATTGGGAGACGACATCAGAGACAAGGATCGAGGCCAAGCAGGGATTAGAGGGCCCCACAAAGTCAGTCGGAATACGCAAGCGCAAACTTGAAGGTGAAGAGGAGGGGGATGAACATGCGCCTGAGGCTATTGTCAACAAAGGCTGGGGTTCGAGGATGAGGCAATACCCCGGTGCACAAGAGGAAGTGGGCTTGGATGACCTGTTTGCATCCACGAAAGATATCAAGAGGACGAAAACCTTCGTCCCGAAAGTCGAACTTGATGACGAGGAGGCAGCCGCCCAGAAACCTATCCCTACCGCAAATACAGAGGATGTTCCTCCCAAGCCAGAAATCCAAGAGACGAATGAGTCGGTTGTGGTCAAGACCGAAGAGCCCACGCAATCTGCAGTAGAGCCAGTCATTGAAGAGAAACCGCATATTGAGGATGCTGCGCCCGGTGTCATCTTCAAGAAGCGCAAGCCGAAGGCAATGAGGAAATAGTTGCATCTTGAGGATGTGATGTCTGCGAAACTTCCTTGTCATTTCTCAAATTGAAATGCAAGCCTATCTCCTTGATCATCCTAACTCCTCGTGGGGCCTGATACACCCAATCTGTTGGCCTTTGGTCTGTGACCCCCAAATCTGCAAGTCTGCGACTGGTTGCTTGTAGCAACAGACACACAATGCATGACTTTCACTATTCCAAATGATACCAGAGATGTGCCGAGTCTTGGACAAAAGGCTTGTGGCAGAAAGTCCGTTCCGAAAGTCCGTTCCGAAAGTCCGTTCCCCAGGATGTACTTCGAACCCATTCACCCAGAGGATTATTTGCAAGCCTAACCCTTCTGCATGGAATGCCTGTCTTCAAACGCGTCACCCATTGATTAGCAGACCTGTGGCTCTGAAGCATGAGTCTCTGGCTATGTAGGGTTGAATCATGCCCACGCCTTTTCGCAGGATGATCTACAGCGTTCATGGATCCGTACATTTTGGACCAAAAAACCAAGTACAACACTATAAATTCGAGCTTATGTTAATCAATTCTAATATAAGAGGATAATACCAGCCAAACATTCAGCAATATAAATAAAATATAAATAAAATAAAAGTAAATAAGATTGAAACAAGTGTATATAAAACCTCGGAATATGCAATGTTGGGGTAGAAAGCGGACGGAGGTTTGCCACTATAATTTTTTTTCCCTTCGCAATCAAAGCGGAGAGTTTCAACGCCGGAAAGGAAAGCTCCTTAAGCCTCTCTTTCGCGCTTTTCCTGACCGCCGACCCTCGCATTTGCATAGTCTCCCTGCGATTTGTGTTTCTGTCGATCTAATTTTATAAATTTATCTACCTGGTAAGTCTTGGACATCTTGGAAATTCGAGAGTCGCGATCCCCGCAGCCCTGTCAATCCCTCGACATGCGCATCGTCTCGCGCCGGAGCCTCAACTACCTTGTGCGATATTATGTCCAGTATTCCTGCTGTCAAAAGAGGTCATTGAGTGCTGGATTCTACCTTGCGATACTTTTCGGAGACCCAGTGGGAGTTGTGTGAACAGATGGTTGCATTTGAGCCTGGTCGGCCACCGCGAATGCGACCTACAAAACCTCAATTTGCTAGCAGGATATCTGGACATGCCACGAGGTCTCTATATCTTTGATGTGGAAATTCGTACAAATGCACAGTCTTTGCGCTCAGTACTATATCCAGCACATGGTTTATCCACCGATTGGATTTAAAGACGTGGAAATGGAGGCCCTGCGCTAGCACGGTGCTTCTTTCCTGGCGATGCTCATGATCGACACCGAGGACTCTCTGCCTTTACCGCACCCTATCACTCTCCACTGGGGAACACTCATGAGATTGCAGTTTGAATATGTTGACTAACAAATGCTGGACCCCACAGATCATAGGGAATAAATGATTTCTAACTCCCCATCCGTTCGACCTGGTGTGATTTCTTCGCTCAGCCACAAACCAGACGACCTTTGACCTTGCCTACTCGATTAAATACCTTATCTTCGAAGCCTACTTGCAAAATACCCACCAATTTTCCCATCCGATCGACAGTTTCATTGGGAGACTGTGAATTCCAATATGGCGGAGCCGACGGACTCGAGGGCCCCGCCTGGCGAATCCACCAATCCTGCGACCGAACCGAATGCGCCGGCTGTTCAGACAGACCAACCTTTAGCCCAGAATGAGCTGCCTCCCGTGGAAACAAGCCAAGAACCGGTAGCGCCAGCACAACAAGCTCAACCAGCAGATCCAGCACCAGCAGATCCAGCACCGACAGCACCGGCAGAACCGCCAGTTGAAGCTGCACCGCCGGAAGTGCTACCCATACCAGAAGTACCAGCAACATCAGAAGCACCAGCAGAGCCAAACTCGTCCGCTGCAGGCCCACCACAGGATGCGGGCACGTATCAGCTCGAAGATGCTACTCAGCCAGCACAAGGTCCAGATGTGACTTTACCGTCTGTCGAGTCGTCACTTCCAGCGATTGATCCATCACTTCCACCCATGGACACGTCAAACGGCTTCGATGATTCAGAATTACACTCCTTTGATGCGTTGCCTTCAATAGGTTCATCTGCGCCCCCCGATATGTCACTGCCTGCGATTGATACAAGTCTCCCCTCTCTCGACCATTCCTTACCAGCAATCGGAACTGATGATATCCCAACAATGGATGGCCATGATTTTGGCAACGATAGTCATCTAGATCATCACGATGCGAACGTCGGCATGGCAGACTCTACGGGTGGACATGATAATGGGACTGTGAATGGTGCATCTCATTATCATTCGACCAACGGCTACCAATATTCGAATAGTCCTGCTCAATCACAACAACCGGGAAGCCAGCAGTCACCCCAGACGCATACCCACCAGTTTCAGACACAACCACAACATTATCAGCAAAACGACATGTATCACAATTCCGGTTCCCAAGGACAGGTGCCACAGGCACCGATTGGATCGCCGCTCCCAAACAATATGCCTCCGATGGCTTCTATGGGACAGTACATGGCTGGATATCCCTCTAATATGGGGAATGCGCAAATGCGATACCAACTTCCGGGGGATCCGAACAAGATGTTATCAGGCAATAGACACAAGAAAGAGGTCAAGCGACGCACAAAAACCGGTTGTTTAACTTGTCGCAAACGAAGAATCAAGGTGAGCGCAAATGTAGTTTTCGCGGGGCGGAGTCTTTCGCTCGCTTGTGCCCGTCAGACCCCGCCATTTTATTTTGTCCGCTTAAATCCACCTCCCTCTCAACCTCCAACTTTTTTTTCATTCTGTTTTTTGAATATCTGCATATTTCTACAAGTTCTAACTCTCTTTTAGTGTGACGAAGCACATCCGGTCTGCAGAAATTGTGTGAAAAGCAAACGTGAATGTTTGGGCTACGATCCTGTGTTTCGGACTCAAGCATCTACACCATCAGCTATCCAACCAGCTCCTAACCCTCCTCCTTCGCTGGTCGTCAATCCACAAGGCCCTTCTACCTCATCAGCACCTTCATATCCTTCCTATCCTTCTGCGCCTCCCGGGTACATGCCCGCTTCGTCTCAACCATTCGCACCTTCCCTCCACTCCGAATCGCCCACTGCCTCTGCCGATCAACACGAGCACGGGGCTTCCATTGATTCTTCTTTGGCGACAAACCATCAATCCAATCATACAGATATGCAGAACACTGGCGTGCCACGTCAACAGGGCTCAGACCCTTCGTATAAAGGTGAGTTCATATAATTTGTTTTCTGAATCTGCGCATTGCAGCATTGTGCATGAGTAGCTAACAATTTGTCTGCACAGCCAAAAACCTCTATGTCAATGACCTCTTCTCTTTGAGGGGAATCGCCCCTCCTCCTCCCCACCCTGTCGCAACTCTTCCCCCCGGCCGCCTGGAGGAGATCCAGGCAGTTTTCCTGGCCACATACGCACCTGCCATCGACAAGCTTCTCGAGGTTCGCTGGTATTCAGAGAATGCTCTCTCATTACTCATGGCCGATGCCCAGCTTATGGCCGATTATTCAGCTTTGATCATCGCATTCAACGAATGGGATCTTCAAGACGGTGAAACCCTTGCTCGTCTAGAGAGTTTCGAAGCCTCCATTATCTGGAAAAGCATGTCGTTGTGTCGACAGGTACCGGATGGGGAAACAGGACAACAGGGGCGAGACTGGAATCTCTGTGTGTCTTGCGCGCGATTGAACGTGGTCGAGGCATTGCTTACTTGGAACCACCTGGACTCCAACCCCTTGTCGCGGGAGCTAGTCATGGATGCGGCCAACCCCCCGAACACTCCAGATCAATTCCAGAGCCGCCAATTGGATTTCTGGGACCAGGTCGGAGAATTCCTTACACTTTATGACAACGAGGCAAGCTCGGCTAAGCAGATTGACGACACCCTCAGCCGGTGTCGACAATTGCTGGACACATACGAGAACCGTGACATCATATACTCCATCTCCGTCGCACGTCACTTAGGACAGCGTTGGGCTGACTTCCCCAACAGCCTGCCCAAGGTGGGCTACACCACCGAGAAAGAGGCGGGAACCAGGCTTTTCGTCGCACAGAAGTTCCTCGAAGAAGAAGCCGAGGGCAAGGGCACAACACAAGTCTACAAGCGGGTTTGCTGCATGGCAGTCCGTTCATGGTGGGTTGCTCGCGGGTAATCCACTTTAATAGGACTAGCATCGCTTCCCAGCGTTTGCACTGCCCCTCATACTCTTTTCATCCCTCCTTGCATAATGAGTTCCTAATCAAGGGCCATTACACCCTCCTCTCGATCCTGCGTCCTCACGGGGTTTTCATCTTGTTCTTTTGCGGTCGATAAAAAAAAAGCATCATGGTCAGGCGTTGTGTTTCTTTTGCTCTGAATGATACGATGTCTATTCTCTGCCTGTTCACATTTCTTTTTTTTTCTCTCTCTCTTTTTCTATTGGGGGTTTAGGGGATTGGGCAGTGAGCGAGCAAAACACTACGGCGTTTTGGCCTTTTCTTCCCCCGAACATGTGGAATCGTAGTGATTCCACCTGTCTTGTGTACATATAGACCGCATAATGTCTGTCACTCGAATTTGTTTTTTTTTTCTTTTTTTTTCTTTTTTTTTTCTGCTGTAGCGCTTTTACCATCACTTCACCTGAGATATTACTTTGATCTGCAAATGCGATTGGAAAAGGCAAGCTTTCTGTTTCAGCTTCAGATCCAACAGAATTGCAGATTAATGGCGTGGGGGCTAGTGAATTAGTCTAGTGATTGCAGGCAGGGGCCCTTCCATAGGCTCTCTCTTCCTACTCTCACATTTCAGCGAATCAATTCCCGTTAACATGCATAAATATTGCAAATTATGATCAATTGCTTCGTGGTGTAGACCGAATACCATTTCAAAGGACTACCTTGTAGACGCATAATCAAAAACCTCGACCCGAATCCTAACCTCGCCCACTTCACTCTGAAACAGGAACCCGATGTCCCTCGTTGAATCAACTAGCTCCACCTCTCTACGCACAAACCGACTCTTGTCAAGACCATCCCCATCCCTCGCTGTCTCAAGCCCAGAGCTAATACCAGGTCGATCCTCATCTTCACTATCCTCATCCCATTCAACGACACCCTCATCCCCAACTTCCTTCTCCACAGGATCCCACTCATCCGTCTCCCAGACCAACCGGAACCCAAACGCCGGTAGCCCGAAGAGCCGCGACACAAGCGCCTTGACCTGGTACGTATCGAACGAACCAGGAATCTCCTTGACTTGGCTCTTGGAGTCGTCGTTTCCAAGCGGCAGACGGAACGCCATTTTAACCAGACGCGCTGCTACGGACCGCGGATGAATGACTCTCGCACCGGAGGAATCTGACACAACTGCTCTTGCGATAGTCGGCTCGACGTATAGCTCACACAGTTCGCTGTACCGCGGGTGCGTAGCGAGGATGGCGGGCTCTTCTTCTTCAGTCGTGGCGGAGAGCTCCTTGCCGATGAGGGATAGGTAGTACATCTCTGCGTTGGAGCGGTCTTGGGGTGAGATGGTGCTGTAGTTTAGGGTGGTGAGGGATGATGGGAAGCGAGATAGGGTTAGCATGAAGGCTTCGTCGACGGTCATTGGTTTAGAGGCTTCTGTGACGGAGGGTGGGAGGGGTGGTTGGTCGAAGAGGGGGTTGGCGGTGATTCGGAGGGTGGTTAGGCCTGGGAAGACGGTGGGGAGTTTGTTGAGGATCGTCCAGGAGGTGATGCTGTTGCGGGATATATCGAGGGAGCGGAGAGTTTGCGGGAATTGGAAGTCTAGGATTGTTGTATCTGTAGTGTTTTGGTTCACAGTGCTGATGTTGTTCCCACGGATGGAGAGGTGCTCTAATTTTGGGAGTGCGGCGAGATGTCGAAGGGCTGATATTGAGGTGATCTCGTTGTGCTCGAGGGTTAATGTTGTGATAGTGCTAGGGAGTGGACAGGTTATCTCAGTGAGTTGGTTCGCAGATGTTGCGAGAGATGTCAAGCTAGGGAATCGATATGCAATGACAGCAATCTATCTCTGAAGTCAGCTTGCCTCGAGATTGTCTGTGGTGGATAGGGCACATACTTCATCCCAGCTAAGCAGGGTTTCTTCTAGATGTAGCTCGGTGATCCCATTGAAGGTCAGGTCATCCTCCAAAGCTTGAAATCGGTTTCCGCTTTTCTCCAGTTAGCTCTGCCATTTACGCGATGACCGCATTTGAGACTCACTTCAACTTCAGCTTCTTCAGGTGCTTAAGCTGGTTGCAAATATCCCAAACATCGCGCCACCGGCTCAATAAGCTTCGACTAAGATCAAGTTCTGTGATCTTGGGGCAAGTTTCTCCAATCTTTTGTGCTTCCTCGCTATGTAAGACTTGAACCTGGTTGTAGGATGCAAGAACCCCGACAACCCGTAAGCCATCAAGCAAGACAATGCGTAACTCTTGGAGCTCAGCAAGCTGTTTCCGAATCTTGTCGAAGCCAACTTCTTCAACAACCTTGCCACTAATTTCAATTGCCTTGCCTCGAGCTGTTGCCCCACTGATCAAATCATTTTGGGCAACGCTGTTCACAGACTCAGAAGCATACTTCTCCCGCAGGGCTTCTAGAAAGCTCAGGGGCTGGTCTGAAGGTCTGTCGGGGCGAACAAAAGACCCCGCCATTGGATGTTTGCTTTTGCCTGAAGCTAGGTTAGCAATAATCGGAATGTAAAAGTAAGGAATTCATACATGAGAAGTACCTGATGCCTTTATGCTCTCCTGAGTGTTTGCCACGACTTGCATCGTCCCATTCGACACCCAACCAATTGCCGGTGGTCCCTTGAACGGTGCCCACATATCGAATAGTACTTAAGTGACCATCAAATGACCGACGTTGGCCTACAGCAGGGACACTCATAGCTCAAGCCAGACCTAACAGGTCATTTGTTCCAGTGGTATGGTGAGTGCTACTTTGTACTGTGTGATCCATGATATCGCCCAAACAGCCAGCTTATATAATCAATGGCATTCCATCTGTGGACTTCACTTGGATTAATAGACACATTCCATGCAATTATGCCTAAGACACTTATATATAGTGTATTAAGTCACACTACAAATAAGAATGCTTATTTTTGAAGCCTTTTTCCTAAAATAAAGTCAATGAAGGGGACATGTTCTAGTATGTAAAGCAAAGCAGCATCTAATAACTCACCATTACGGGCGACTAAACGTGCCATCTTTGACTTAATTATTATTGGTTCATAGTTATTGCCAGTAATTTTTAAGGTTAGTCATCTGAAGGCCATTTGAATGCCTGATTTTGTACAACATAGTGTTTATGTCTGAATTAGTATTATGATGGAGGGTTCAATAAGCAAGGTATCTGAGGCTATTCCCACCACAAAAATCCCCGTATACACATATTTCTCGGCGTTGAGTTTTTGTTTTTTAACTATACGAACTTGTACTGTTATAGGAAGTGCCAATGGCAATATATGGTGGTAGAGCGGTTAACGCCTGCTACGTGACCGTCCCGTAATAGGTACGACGACGAATACCAAACCGGAGCCGGAGCCTTTGTAATATGCGAGGACTAATACTGAAGCCTTCCGCCTAAAGAGTAGTAGTAATTTGCTTATTAGAAGGGCCAATTGTCTTTATCGTGAATAGAGGGCGTTTGTGGTATATGGTTAGGAGATCCGCTCAATTCCCTATATCTGAATTCGTGCGTCTCCTTATTGTACGGTATCAAGGTGCGCATAAAGTATCGCATATAGAATTAAATGATATAACCGCCCTAAAGAAGAGTACTAGTAATTTCATCTTTGTAAGGTTCAAGAACAATAGAAGGGCGCCCGGCTGGCATAATAAGAGTATGTTGTATATGCTTCGAGAAGGCGGTGGTGAAAGCGGGACGGGCAGTATAAACCAATACTATTAGCTACGATAGGAAGGCGGTCGCTATAAATACCGCCTTCGTAAAACACCTAGTTATGTTGTAGATAGTTCAACTCCCTCCAACTTTCTTCACTCCAGCGTCGACAAGATGGATTACCAGGTATGTACTCGCGGAGCTTGCACGTCTCATATTATTAATCGATCACATGCACGATGCTAACACATGTCACAGAACCGAGCAGGTTCCAAATTCGGCGGCGGCGGCGTGGCCTCGAAGTCCGCCACCAATGCTGATCGACGCGAGCGACTGCGCAAGCTCGCCATGGAAACAATGGATATTGAGAAAGATCCCTACATCTTCCGAAACCATCTGGGCACATTCGAGTGCCGACTCTGCCTGACGGTCCACCAGAACGACGGCTCGTACCTTGCCCACACCCAGGGCCGCAAGCACCAAACCAACCTCGCTCGACGTGCCGCACGCGAGGCCCGCGAAGGCAAGAACCAGGACCCATCGTCTATGCCTGGTGCCGCGGGCGTGCAGGTCAAGAAACAGCTCATCAAAATCGGCCTGCCTGGATACAGAATCACCAAGATCAGGGACCCTCTGACGCGCCAGCTGGGCCTGCTGTTCCAGCTGCAGTTCCAGGAGATCACCCCGGGTATTAAGCCCCGTGTGCGCTTCATGTCGGCCTTTGAGCAGAAGGTTGAGCCCCCCGACAACCGGTACCAGTACTTGATTGTTGCTGCGGAGCCTTACCAGAATTGTGCGTTCAAGTTGCAAGCTAAGGAGATTGATCGTCGTGATGAACGCTACTGGACTTGGTTCGATGAGGACCTCAAGGAGTTCTGGATTCAGGTTATGTTTAAGACTGAGCGCGAGGAGATGTTCAGTGGTGTGCCTGGTTTGGCCCCTACCCAGTCTTGAACTTGCTTCCTATTTGCCCTTGTTTCCCATCTATGTCTCGCTCTGCTTTCTTTCGGACACGCATCAACAGATGGGTGGTTGGCGCCATGGCGGGAATCGGGATAAGGCGTTTCGGGGTTGTTCTATGTTCCTAGTTTTTATCTGATTCTCGAGCGACTCCCTTTTCATGACAATGAAGTTCAATTTTAATGGCAGACATGCTATCAACAGTTCCAATGTTTTTTTTTTTTTTTTAAGGAAAGCTGTTTTCTGACTCTACAATAATGTTAATAGGGGATTGGTACATACAAGAGACCCCCCTCTGTAGTTATAGTTAATGGGGCTCTCCTGCCTGAAAACCTAGGCATTAGTCCTACCGCCTTCTTATTAGGAAGTGGGTCATGCCTCGATACCTATATATGTGCCTACCGTCTTTCTCACCGCCTTCTAGAAAGAGCTTTCACACCGCCTTTTGTCAAACTACCCCTAACACTAGTTATAGGACGATAGCAGATACCTGCAATTTGTATGCAAAATACATAGTAAAAACAAGTAACTTTAGTCTTATGTATGTTATAGGACTCGAGTAGCTAGAAACTTCATCACCCAGGCCAGCACCCAGGCCAGCACGTAGCAACCGTAGTCTTCCCCTGATACTCTCACGTAGGATCGTTCTATATACCGAGATCCTTCGTCGTAAGAGGAGAGTCGAGGACGCGGACGAGGACGAGGAAGGCCGCGGGGACCTGCATAAGAAGCATATGCATGTTCACCCTGTATGAGTAAATAAATGCTTAAATCAATGAAATGTACGATTTTTTCTGATTAAAATGCATGTTTTTTTTACTATGTAAACCGGAATTCCTATAGTGGTGGCAGAATTATATGGCAGAAAACTCTGCAATGGCAGAATACATGGCAGAATTCAGTGTCGCACCCAATATAGAAGGCGGTAATTTGGGTGCCTGAATTTTCAGACATGAATCCCATTACAGAGGGCCCTATCAATAGTCAGCTGTTTAGTTATTATTGCTAGAAAGGCAGATATAGTTAGAAAAGACAAATGCAGTGTATTTTTTTTAGGGTAATATCCTGATATCCTAAAAACAGCTGGGTCTCTCCGAAAATTGACAAATAGTGTGTGTATCGTCTTGAGGAGGATGCAAGGCGTTAGTTAACTAGATACATGTATGTATCAACAATGAAACCGAAGATGGGTCATGATTCGGGAAAACAACATCGCTGGTATGCTCAATGATAATGGGCAACGAAGTGAAAATGAAACCGAGCTTATTTCTGACCGACAAAAGAGTACCATTGAGAAACGGAGGATGCAAGCCCTGCTTGCTTCCGTTGTCCTTCGAAATCGGTCAGTCTCGGAACACAACAAACCAATCTAAGTGGTTTGGAAGGCATTGAAGGCCTTATAGGTGTAGCCGATGAATGGCAAACTCATCTCGGCTTCCTGCGAGTCCGGCATGGCACGGGCTTGGGCACGGTGGATCGCGCTGGTATCCTCCTGAGGAATTTCATCAATCGGGAAGTATGACACATCAATGTTTGAGCTGAGGCGTGGCTCGAAGGGAGCACGGATGCCGCGCAGTTGGTCCCAAACAACACCCCTGAAGAAGGGGTGGTTCTTGATCTGCGTCGCGCCTCCGTGCTGACCACCTTCGCTGCCAATACGGTGATCTGGGTCACATAAGAAACTAAGCAATTTTGTTAGCGGGTGCTCCTTTTAGATTTTCGATAGACGTCTAAGAACTTACCTTCGGATCAGGGCCTCAGAGTCACGCCCAAGAACCAGTTCATCGGGGAAGTACAAGCACTCTCTCCAGTTCACGATTTTCCGGTAGGTGTCATTTGTGTCTTCAGCACAGAAAGGAGGCCAGCCTACGAGGCATTCAAACATGATAGCACCGACAGACCACCAATCACAGAGATAAGTGTAGCCTTGACCGTTGAAAATCTCAGGAGCAATATAATCGGGAGTTCCGACAGTCGAATAGGCCATTGCACGACGAGACTTTCGCCAGGTGTTGATCTGACCACGGTTGGACACTGTCAGATTGATGGCGTCATTGAAGTATCCAGAGTTGCGGTTCCGATCCTTGGAAGTAGAGTTCTTGAGGAGGTTTTGGTAGTAAGCGTTGTCATGAGTCTTCTTGCCTCCGGTGGATAGACCGAAGTCAGTAAGCTTGACGTGTCCACCGCGGTCAAGCAAGATGTTGTCAGGTTTAATATCACTGCACAAGAAAGATTAATTAGTATGGATTGTCTCTTATGTCGTCTATGCGCCCTATTCTTCTGTAGAGAAACAATAGTGCACATGCCGATGTCCCAACCGGGAACCGAAAACAAAGCATCACTTACCGATGGAGGAAACCAAGCTTGTGTACGGCTTCGATTGCCATCACAACCTCGGCCATGTAGAACCGTGTGATATCCTCAGAGAAGATCTCATACTTGATCAACATGGTCATCAAATCACCACCGGGCAAAAACTCCATCAGCAGGTAAAGGTACGCAGCATCCTGGAACGACGCGTGAAGCTTCACAAGCCAAGGATTATCCTTCGAATCCGCCAGAATATCACGCTCGGCACGGACGTGGGCTAATTGGTCCTTCTTGAACATTTCGGTCTTGATCAACGACTTGAGGGCGTAAATCTTGCCATCAGTCTTGCGTTGCACGAGCTTGACCTCACCGAAAGCACCCTTTCCGATAATCTTGATGGTCTGGAAGTTCGCCGGCGTCTCCTTTGTCCGCAGGAACCGAAGGAAATCGGACTCTCTCTTGGAAATCAAGTCGGCATCCTGGCGCTTCTTTTCGATGGGGATATTGGGTTCACGGATTGTTTTGTCAAGTTCCGCCGATCTGTAGGGGCGGACATCATAGGTGAGCCACGACTCCGGGAAGAAATTCCAGGCCTTCCATTTGGGAAATGGATACTTACCGCATATTACGGTCACGGGCCCGTTCGATATTCTCGTGGAAGAACACAGTCACCAGCTCCTTTGCTGCCTTTCCTCGCTTGTGCGTATTCTCGGAGTACCGGTCGGGGAAGCGTTGCAACTCTTCATTCTCGGGAAGTGGGCGAGGGCTGCGGGGCACAGGGGGGATCAGGTGTGATGCTTGGGCCTGTGTTTGGGCGGGGGAACCACCGGCGGTGCGAGGCCGCTGGGCTGGGGAACCAGTCCGACTATTGAAAAATCCTGCACGGCTTGCGTTAAGGTCCTGATTGGAGAATTGCTGGATCAGACCGTTGGTGCCGTCGGGGTAGCCTGGACGTGCTTGGTAGGCGGGTTGGGGCGATTGCAATGCTTGCTGTTGCGCGTACTGCTGCTGCTGCTGCTGTTGCTGTTGCTGTACATACTGCGGCTGCACCTGCTGGGCTGGGTAATTGTTGGGCATGAAATAACCCGGTGCGTAAGCTGGATTGGAGGGATCGACGTATTCCTGGGCCCCCTGAGTTTGATAGATGGGCTGGGGGAAGGCAGAGGGGGTAGTGGGATAGGCGCGGTTGTTGGCATTGTAGTTACGGTCATAGCCGTAATTCATGTTGTTTCGATTGTTATTGTTGGGATCCATCTTGACTCGAACTCCTAAGGGACTTTTCAAGATAGATGGGGGGAGAAAGAAAGTTGGGAGGGAGGGAGTTGACGAGGGCGGGGAGTTCAAAGAAGCGGTGGCTCAGGAGGCAATCTAGCCCCCGACTACTGGTTGACTTGTTTACATGTTACATGTTTCCACTCGAATTGAAACAACTGTGTGTTTGTGTGTGTTCCCAATGTCTGTGATACTTTCCTTTTTATCCAATGAATCACTCAGAGTAGGCGGCTAAATATTTTGAGGGGAATTGCCAGTATGCTAGCGTTGTTGGGGCTAATATTGAGATTTTATAAGACAAGAAGGCCTATTCTCACTTAGGGGTTCTTTTTTTTTCCCTCAGTTCCCGAGTCTCTTATAGGCTTAATGAAGCTGGAACCCGTAAAGCTGGCAATATTCCTACGTAGAATATCCCTTCCAGAATATCCCTACGGAGGATATCACTGGATATCACAGGATGTCACTTGTTCAACTCATCGTGGGGTTGATAGGTCACGTGCCAAATTCCCCGCTTAGTCATATTTTGGTTTCGGGGCCCTCTTCCTTCAACTCGACACCACTTGTGACTAACCTCTGTTACAGGGATGTGAGTGATGTGCATAAGCGTCCAGTGGGATCTTGTACATTTCTCTAATATGATATCCAAAAGACCAATCCAGTCTAATGAGTGGCTTCCAAGCAACGCCTTCGTGGCAGGAGCGAGTTTCAAATTTTTGGTCGCTCGGGGCACAGCATTCGATCCAACGGAATGGCGCTATTTACGAGTACCGCCACTCTAGTGAATGCTTTCAGCCAATTCGTTAACCCGATTGCACTCCAGGCTATTGCATGGCGCGTAGTCTTGATGTATGTATCTATATAAAGATTTGATCACTCTGGTTATTTGGTCACTTTTCAAGCTATCTCAGCTATATTTGACTCATGTAATAACAATTTGGGACCGGGGTGTTTTTTTTTAATCCCTAGGTAACGAATACCTCTTTAGAGACATCGAATTTACCGAGTTATCTTCCTCTTTTATTGCTTCCTTTGGTCTTAAAGTATGTTTATGATAATTGTCAGATTTCCTGACTTATTAACACTTAAATCTCCATCCAGATAATTTTCAACAGATAATTTCCTCCATACATAGTTACACACCAGGCAAGATTATCTTGATGATCCGGTCCTGTTTGGCATTCTTGCTTTCAATTTTCAGGAGCCTTCCAATATCGGAATTGCGTTGTAACGTTTCGTCGTTCGCCCGCTTTCGTGACTTTCGAAATATCGTTTCCAAGCAGCCCTGGCATAACAAATATGTGCGAAGGGAATAATCTCCTATCTTGTGCAGGTACATCTAATTCCAGTCGTTAACCTTCCATATTCCTATCTTGGCGACATTCATCCGCTTGAAACATGATTGTGCTTACCAATTAAATGGTTCATAGAATCATTGAGACAATTTGCGTTTTATCAGCCGGAGTTTATCAAATGAATCCTCATAAACCTTAAGGGAACATTTGTCCTCTGTCGATACAATCGCATGCAATGGCATATCTTGACCGGGTTGACACCATTCCGTTGCACTCGAGGGAGATTCTATTCGAGAAATTGCTCTGCCCCGAGGCCTTTGTTCCAAAACAATACTGCGTGAAGGTGGAGTGAAATATATAGCAGATCCGTTTGCAGCAGTTGGCGTTGGCGTAGAGGGAGATTGGTCCAAGAGATAACTGCAGGTATCCGGGCAAAAAGAGCCTTGCGATGGATACTTGCCGCAGGTTAAACATGGCCAGTATATGCAGGGCATTTTGCGAGACTTGGGAAATGAAATTGACAATTCTTACTAGGATGGGAACACGGAATATAAATCGTTGGACTATACCCAATTGATATCCTTATCATGGTTCTGGCAGACCACGGATCTAGCTAATAATATGAATAATGCAATCGATTATCTGGTAGCGATTATAAACTGTCTAATCTATATACTACCTGGCCGCAATATCTACCTAGATAGACCGCAGCGATATTTTAAAGTTTAAATGTCAAATCATGCAATTGGCTGGAAATAAATGCCACCCGGTTCCGACCATTTAGGAGTGGTCGGATGCAACCTTAATCCGTGGATGAGCACCTTGCTTACCTATACACTCGAGTTTCGAACCTCATTAAATCCGATGACCACAGCCACACGCTAGGCCTCGCTAGGTGAGTGGTCGGCAAAACTGCCGCGTCGATATGAATAACATCATTGATTCCATTGAAGTCCCCATACTTGCTACGGGCTAGGCCCATTGGATTTGCATGAGGATTTATTATTGCTTCATAGGGCCTCTCATGGCACCCTTTAAGGGCCACACCTTCATTCTGCTATCAGGGAAGTTGTTACCGTGAAACCACATAAATAAGGGGGTCGTAGACTCTTGAAAGCAATATGTGTGGGGAAAATCTTTCTTTTTTTTTTAGAATAGTCACTCCTTACGGACCTAAATCGAGCAAGGGATGGCCCTCATGCGATATAGCTTCCCGAGACCACCGCCTTAGCTCATCGAGGTTTATTCAAATAGACCTGGACGAAGCCCTAAAGTCCATGGACCTTTTTCCAACTTGGGCTTGGCACGCTTATCTAGGAAGCTTCCGTCAAACAATGTGCCCTTTCCGATAAAGAATTTCGGGTCTTGATCGTCGTAGACTTGCTCAATATCAAGACCATTTTCGATCATAATTTGACAGATTTCTCGAAAAGCAGCCTTGAGAGTGCCAGCCATATCAGCCTTTGTCCCTGACGCAACTGAGAGCCAGTAGCCTACCTAGCAGCGAGTAACTGCAGTGGCCCCTCATAAAAATAACTAAAGACTCAAAGTTCCAGCATTGCCACCCCAGCTCTGCCGCACCAATAAATAATACATAGGGTTCTAACTCTCGGGACTCCAATGCTCAGAATTGATATTAATGCATATGAAATGAAGGTGATACCTGGCTCCCCTTCGAAGCGCCTGTCAATGTTGCCTACTTATTTGTTTCCATATAAATGAGAGTTGCGGATTTAAACTGACCTTTGAAAGTATTTAAACTTTGGTATAGTTTTTTGAAGGTTGGTGTGTAGAGTACTTCTGAGCGGAAACTAACACAATAGAAGAGAAGGTCGTTTTGGCATTATATAGAGGACACTAGGGATCCAAGCGTATTCGGCTTTCACAACTACAAGCTTGGTACTACCTAGGTATGTTGTTGTATATCAAAATGGACCACCCACACGTCGATGTTGAACACTGAAGTGTGGGTCTCGAAGTTGGAAGATCTTCATCTGTACTATATATCATTGTTTAACTAGTGCTTATGCTTAGTTGGCAACAAGCACTCCTCCACTTGTATATCAGAGTTACGCGCTCAAATTACTTGGCTAGTCTCAGGATATCTTTGGGCCACGGCAAAGGGGTTGATTCCTTTCCTTTTATTGGAAATGATTTTTTTTTTTTTTTTTTTTTTTTTTTCAAAACAGCACCGTTGAGATAGCAGTTCTAGCTGACCCAATTTCTATTTGTAACAACTATATGATCTCAGAGGTGTAGGCGTGGACCTGTGGCCCTTGGAAGTTGATCGCCCAGGTGGACGCTAATACTGCGGAGTCATCTACCATACCGCCCGAAGTGTCTTATGAGTTAGTTCCCTTGTCGGCATTCCTTCTATCATATCTTTCTTTTACGTGTGTGTTGAGGCACTTGCTCGCAAAATGCTACGCGCGCTCAGGAATTTTACTACACATCGATATGGCAGACCTGGATCATCTTTATCGATAACATGTCGAGGTAAGAAGGGAAAGGGGCTTGGTGCAAAGGCAGCTGCTTTCAGTTTCTGACTGTTCAAATAGGTGCATCGATTACACAGGAGGAACTTTTCGCTTACACCAATGGCCATTTCCTTGCCAACGAAGAATACCAGCTAAGCAGAAGATATGTCCGGTTCGATGTGGATGAGCTTTGCAATACTACTGCGACAGTCGGCGGAAAGTCTAGTCAGGTCACAGCTATTGACAAAATGGAAGGAGGGTTCAGCAAGGCTTTCTTGATGAGAAAGGAAAATGGATCCGAAGTGATAGCAAAAATTCCATGCCACATTGCTGGCCCGCCCACCTTAACTACAGCTGGTGAAGTCGGCGCTCTCGAATACAGTACGTTATATTGGTATAATTCTACTTCCAGTGGCTAATATCCTATAAAACAGTCAGAAAACACACTAGCATCCCTATCCCTCGTGCTCTTGCCTGGTCTTCGAACAATTCGAATACTGTCGGTGCAGAATATATTATCATAGAGAAAGCCGCCGGTGTTCCACTATTTCAAGTTTGGGGTAGTATGACCGAATTTGATCAGCTACAGTTAATCAGAAACTTGACCCAGATCGAGGCTCAATTATCAGCCATTCATTTCCCTGTTTATAGAGGACTGTATCTTCGAACGGATATAGAGCAACCAAATAAGCCCCTTGACGATGAACTTGATCCATCTTTCTGTATTGGACCTTCTTATGACCGCGGGTATAATCCTAATCCAAGTCTGGACTTTGATAAAGGACCTTGTAAGTCCCCTGCGTATTTTGATAGTTTATATACTAACTGTTCATAGGGTATTCAATTTCAACCCTTGGGGTTTCTATTGCAAAGCGCGAATTACTACGAATACCAAAGAACGGCCAGCAAGATCAAGCACCCTTTTATAAAGGAGATATCGAAGAACAAACCGAACTCTTACAAGCAACAGAGAGTGTCATAGAACTTTTAGACTCGAACGAAATATTGAAAGGGGGAGCTTCCCAGCCTACTCTATAGCATACCGATCTTCATATAGGAAACATTTTCGTCGCCCCTAACGAGTGTTCAAGAATAGTATCCCTCATCGATCTCCAGTCGATTTCCGTTCTCCCTACATTTCTCCAGGCCCAATGGCCAGTCTTTCTCAAACCCCCACAGAACTATGATTACGAGAAGGGGATACTTGAGGTGAAACTGCGCGATGATTTCGATACCCTAGATGAGGATGGCAAGATGCTTGCAATGCGCGAATGGTCCCAAGTGAAGTTAGCAAAGGCCTATGAGATCTCAACCTTACTTGAGGATAAACCGGCACATAGGGCCATGAACGTACCCCGTGTCTTCCGAGAGTTATTCCTTCGATGCGGGGAAGTCTCCGAAATTGGCGTTCTCCCGCTTCGTGCGTGTTTGATAGAATTGTTTCAGAATTGGTCGGACCTTGGATTCACTGGAGAATGTCCTTTATCCTTTACGCAGGAGCAGGTCGATACGCACGATCGCCAATTCTCTGAGTATCAAGCTTGGTATAAGATTCAGGCTCTTGCGCAAGAATGCCTTGACACTGATGCGGAAGGATGGGTCGCACCAGGATTGGATGTGAATGAAAAGAGGAGGCAGAATGAGGAATTGTTGACTATGTACATTGAAAGCGTTGCTGGGGAGAAATCTGCAGAAGAGGCGAGAGCCATATGGCCTTTCCCGGTCAAGGCAGGAGTATGATTTGATCATTTTGTTATGCTGGATTGACAGATGAATAGAACTCTGGAGGCTGTCATGATATTTTTCACCTCCATAGAGAAAACCGGAGGACCAGCTGACTTTGGCCATAGGGGGAGGATGAATACCATTTAGCAATGGATATAGAAACAGAGAGTTTACCACTACAGTCGACTTCCACCTGCGACAAACACCGTCCTTAACGGAAGTGTCAACATAGATGCTGATTATGGTCTAACTACTGCCATGAAGCTCTCTAAATAACTTCATGAAGACAAAGGGATAAAGGCCTGAAGTCCACAAAGGAGCAACGAAAGGTCTCTGAAACTACATACCAGCAGGCAAATCCTCAATGGATATGCATCAGGAGGTATTGCTTCGTATCTTAATCCGTATATTTCTAGCAAAGCTGTATGTCATATTTTGAGCTCTATATGGAAGAAATAATATAGGAGGAATCTGATTTCCCTTAATCGGTACCAATGATGTTATAGCAGGTGATAGGCTAACCAGTTCGTCGAACAGCAAGTGCAATGGTCGGTCAAGTTGAAGAAGCCCAGGAAAGATAGTTGCTGTCGCCCAATTTTCTGACAAAAGATTAACACCTGGGAGAATATTCCAATGGGAGAAACATACCTGGGTCGAAGTGAGTGTGCAATAGTAAATCCAACTCCCAAAAGTACACAGAGCCCACCAACAACTACATACGCAATTCCGAAAACGGGGTTCTTGCCTCCCAACGCCGTCCTAGTGGATATCAGAATTGCCTTGGTCCCCTTGTACTCGATGACCGGAAACCCTGCTCAATACTTAGCGAGTGATATGGCAAATTTAGAAAGGAAACATACTGTCCTGGATATCCAACCTGTAAAACCCCTTGGGCATTGCGTCATGATCATTTCTTCTAGAAAGCTTGCTGAATGACGGCAAACCGGCCGGTCTCATCCAAACCATAAAATCTTCATCTTCATGAAGATTAGGCATACTCTCGTAAGTGTAGTTGAGGCCGTAACCTGCCCAATGTGGTGGGGGGACAACCTCCCACGGTTTGTATTCCGTCTTTTTGATCAATTCCCGGTCACTTGGCCATGCAATCCCCTTCTTTGTCATGTTGTAGAAAGGTGTCCCCTCCTCTTGTAAATTCTGAGGTTGACCAATAGTATCGTTGAATTTGGAGTTTGCAATTAGCCCACAGGGATAGTAGGCTTTTTTGGTCGCATCATCAAGCGCGCAGGGTTCACATGTGCCGTTAGCCAAAGTGTGGTTAGAAACGGCTTTGCCCTTCAATTGTTCCTGGTCAAGCGACTGAACGTATCTGCGATGGTTCTGATAGAAGTTTGTAAGCCGATAATATAGATATACCGGTGGTCCTAGGGTTTCTGGAATATCAAAGAACAAAGAACACGTGGTGGTATTCGTCGCTGGGTCGAGTCTTCGCTGCCAGCGGGCATCCTGTCTAGTGTTCGACTTAAATGTTGTCTGTACCCTATCGGGGATGGCCTCTGATGAGTCCAGCGGCGCCTTCGAGCAATCCGAATAGTCAATCACGATCTCCCGGACCTTTCAAATGTACAATATTAGAGAGGCCTATGATGAAAGGGAGATCATATTCACCAAAGAGTTCGCCCAAATGAGAACACCACCGATTGGGATCAATAAAAACCCAATGACCAAGAAAATGGGGAGGATATTTTTAGGGGTTAGAATTGGCCTGCCGAAGTGTCAGGAAATACATATGCAGTATTCAGAGAAGCCTGAGTAGGATGAAAACTAACTGCCAGGCTTTCAGTCGCTGCTGCCGAAGGGCGGTACCTATAGGAAAGCACATCGGGTTAAAAAGGACGATCTACGACAATGAACGTAAGGCGCGTACCGACTGGTGGTTTCGACTTGGCGCTACTATCTGCCTTTCTTGAACGAAGTTGCGCATTCGTGGGATTGGACTCATTGGAGACAGCTAACTCAGCCCGATTCATTTTGAAAGCCGGTTATAGGCGGAGGGATAATTGGACATGAGAGTTGAGAATAGCGGAAAGTGAAAATGAAAAGAAAACCATGAGGTACACGGCTCAGCAGTCTTGATAAGCGGGGATTCATCTGATACTGATCGGCATAACACTGGCGTGGGGGCCAGATTGCAAGGAAACCACTTGTTTGGTCCATAAAAGCGACCTTGGCATTAGTTCAATCCTTAATATCATGAAGTAATAAAATGAATGCTTCGCCGCAAGGCTGTGTGCCCAGAGACGATCTTCACCAAAACTGTTAGAAGTTCACGTGACCTCAATGGTTGCTCCCAGTAATTTAGTCTCCACCACGTAGATAGTGGTGGAGGGTCTACGATGTAGAGATTCCAGCGTCGACCCACTATTCCAATTCCCGAACCCCTCGGCATGTTGCGATTAAACGGCATCGTCCTTCTTTTTATGAGCTATCAGCCTGGAAACACGCTCACCAATGTCTGGCGGACTCTGGATAAGGCGCAGAAAACGTCTATTCAGGAGCAGCTAGACAAGGTCCTAACAGATCTTAGATCCCTGCCCTTTACTCCCGGTACAGCGCTTGGGGGTATTGGGGGCGAAGGTTGCAAGGATATTAGGAGACATCTACGTCGTAGTGATCAACCGATCACGACGATCGACGAATTCGAGCAATTTCTTTTCAAGGGCTACCGGACAGGTGGGAATGCCTTTGTGTCGTTAATGAATGAACTACGTCCGCCAGCCTCATCATGCAGAATTGTTTTCACTCATGGAGACCTCCGCCCAGACAATATTACAGTGGAGATGACAGAAGATCACGGCTACATTGTTACTGGGCTGATAGATTGGGAGTACAGTGGATTCTATCCAGAATACTATGAAGCTGCCAAGACTACCAATTGCCTATCGCCATATGAGGAGGACGATTGGTATCTATTTCTACCAGACTGTGTCTCGCCAAAGAGATACGCTCACTGGTGGCTCCTTGACCGCGTCCGGGAAACAAGAGTGCTATAGCGGTTTAGCCACGAGGGCTCTAGCCGGCTGTATCTAAATAATAGCGCCTCTCTTAGTCCTCAGTTCCTTCCTTGCTTCCTGGTAATCTTTATCATCCTCATCCAAAACATAATCGTTCTGTAGTCGGTCCAATATCCCTAATACGTAATCCTGACAGTCCCGAGGTCCCATTAGCTGGTCTTATGGTTTTTGCGGCAAAGAGAAAGCTTTTTGAGGTCATGGTGATTCCGTGTTAGTTGCCAGGTAGTTTCTTCTTGTATGATTCGATTCGCCTAGATAATTTAAATCCTCATAGGGAGGCAAAACCAAGGCACCCAATTGACCACAATGCCGAGCAACATGATATTCACATTTCACATGCCTAACGCCGACGAATCTAACTCGGGTGGGTTTTATATAGTCACGTGAGGTCGGGATAATATAATCCCGAAACAACAATTTTCCCCGAACGAGCATGCCCCGGGTGTACTCTATTGATACATATAGACCATATTTCTCCATTAGACAGCCCAATGGCAGACTCCTCGAGCTCTGCTGCGCCCGCGGGCGCTGGCAAGCCCCAGGCGGCCCCGAAGCCGCCTAACCCAGCGTTCAAAATGATGGGTACGTCTCTGTTCCCCAGATTTGAACGATCCAAAAAAATGCTAATACTGCTGTGATCAACAGGTCTCCCTAATATGCGGTTCAAATTACCCTCTCGCAACTGGATGATCTTCCTTACTATCACTGGATCATTCACTGGTGCCCTTATATACGATCGTCGAGAAAAGCGTCGCGTTCAACAAAAGTGGTCGGAGCTCGTGGCTCATATTTCGAAGGAGACTCTACCAATCGACCAGATGCGCCGGAAAATGACAGTTTACTTGGCTGCGCCACCAGGAGATGGTCTGCGTGTGGCCCGGGATCACTTCAAGGAATATGTCAAGCCCATCCTTGTGGCGGCGGCGTTGGACTACACGGTGGTCGAAGGGCGACGTGAAGGCGACGTGAGAGCCAGCACCGCGGAAAACATTCGCAAGCTGCGCCGAAAGGCCGGCGAGCCCAGCTCAGCCGTCGAAGAGGTCGGTGTCGATGCAGTCGTTGCTGCCACCCGGGAACACATTGGGGTCACTGACGAACCGGGTCCCAAGGGTGACTTGGTCATCGGCCGACACACCTGGAAGGAGTATATCCGGGGCTTGCACGAGGGATGGCTTGGCCCGTTGGATGCGCCAGCTCCGCCTCCGGAGGAGTTGACCGCGGATCCATCGAAGGATGTCAGTGCGGAGAAACCCGCTAGTCTCGCGAATCCCGAGATTGCGAGCATCGATTCTCCCGAGTTCTCTGAAGAGAAAAAAGACGAGATCCCTGAGCCTAAGATCGAAGAACCCGAGAAGGAAGAAGAAAAGGAAGAAGAGAAGCCCGCTAAGCCGACCGGTCCTACTCCCGCATACATCTACCCCAGCGAATACTCCTCCGCCATCCTCCCCCATACCCTCCCCCAGTCCTTCGACAGCTCCACCCCAGTCGAATTCCCCCATCTCCTTGGCTTCCTAAACACCCCGATCCGAGTCTACCGCTTCCTCACACAACGTTACCTTGCCGAGGAAGTCGGGCGCGACGTTGCCGCACTTGTCCTCGCGAACAGGGCACGGCCATACCACGAAAACGCTGTCAGTGCTGACTCCGAGCCCACTGCTGCCAGCATTGACTCCACGTCTTCTACTGACAGCTCGTTCACCGACCTCCCCCCTCGCAACTATGAGCAGCAGACCGTAATGGAGGCTGCTGAAAGTGAGTGGCACAAGTCCGTGCACAAGCCCAACGAAGACGAGAATGTGAAGGAGCGCGAGTGGCTCGATGATATCGTGCTTGATCAGCGCATTGCCTCGCGCATGCAGCGCGCCACCCTTTCTCCGGAAGATGACGCACGCTCTCAACGCATCGCCGAGCAACAGGAATACATTCTTGGCGAGGAGCGGCCGGCTCCCGTGCCTTTCTGGAAGCGCATGTGGGTCGATTACGGCTATGGCGAGAGTGACGAGGTCCTGAGTCGTAAGCCCATTTTGGGTAACATCGACGGAGAAGACGGACAGTGAAGAGGTCTTCGAACATTTTCTGTTTGATCTTCACAATTTGAAATTTGGTTATATACTATAACGGTTACGGGATGGATTTTCCCTGGCATTCAGCACGGCATGTGTTAGTCTTTTTGTTTAGCATATTGCGACTCCCTCCTCGGCTTGTATATTAAAGGCGTTTGATGTCCCAATTTTAGAAATGTACATTGATGGAAACAGTATTTTTGAATTTTGGAGTAGATTGTTCTACGTTTAGTCCTTGCTTGGTGGGCAATAGATACTGGTACATTGGATTCTCCCGGCACCTGTATACTCACTCCAAATTGGCATTGGCCAATACCAGAGTATATTTGCTCATTCCCGTGTCTTTCTCTATGTTTTTGTGCTTCTTTTGTTGTCCAAACTCCCGGCACTGTGTTATATTGTTAGGCTGCTAGGCAACTCGTGATCGAAGCGGAGATGGGGGCGGGAGTCCTCACGGTCCTCCACTCGTATCAAATCAGTTCAGCTCGAAGACCGAAGACTCGGGCCACTTGCTGTTCGCCTTCTGGGCGTAAGCAGTCTTATCACTGCCCCACTTGTTCAGAATGTCCAAGGCAGTGACAGCCTCGTCGATGGTGATCTCGGGGGAATCAAGGGTAGCAAGCAGGTCTTTCTCGCACTGCGGTTTGGATTCAGCGTTCAAAAGTTGACGACCGGATAGGCCAGCCTGGACGTGTGCGACGCTGCCCTTGCTAGCAGAGAGATAAGACTCGTTCCACTCTTCGAGCTTCTGGGTCTTTGGGAGCAGCTTGTCAAATTCGGCATTGACAACCTCGGCAACCTGTTCGGGAAGAGGCTCGGCAATGCTCTCAAGAGACTTGCGGAAGCGAAGCAATTGAAGGTGGAGAGTAGGGTTGGATGGATCGATGGAATGGGCAGCCACGAGACACTTGACGGCAAGGAGGTGCTTGTCTATAATCGCATTAGCATGAGGGTCCTGTCTAAGAATCTACCAAATTAACTCACTTTTTCTAGAGTAAACCTCAAACCCGAGGCACTGGGCTTCGATGTTCTGAGGGCTAGACTCAAGCAACGGCGTCAAGAACTTCATGGCATCCTTCAGGGGATCCTGAGTCTGGACCAGGTTGTTGCCCAGGGGATCGTCATCTTCCTTCTTGGTCTCTCCATCAGCACTCTTGGCAGTAGCGGCAGCTGCTTTCCTTGCTGCACGCTTGTCGGACTCGACTTTTTCCAAGCGCTGCTGCTCCTTCTTCGCCTTCTTGAGAGCCTTCTTCCTCTGGTTCTCATCGGTAGAATCGAGTCCATTAATTCCGCTGGGCATCGGTCCGTGCACGAGATCCGGTTGGTCATGAAGAAGTAGATGGGCCTTGACGGCGCCGATAGCCATTCTCGTGTAAAAGGGATGCTCGCGCAGGCGGTCTTCCCAGCGTATCATGTCCACGTAGGCCCTGATCATTCCCTTGCGGAGAGAGAAGCCGTGGAAGTCGAACTGATCCTCCTGCCAAGTATCGAAGATGTTGGAAACCGAGTGGAAGCGCTTCAGGGCAAGACCAAGCTTCTTCTGTCGGAGGAATGCCTCGGCGTCCTCAGTCAAGAACCAGGTGCATTGCATCTCGTGGAGATCACCCAATGCGCCACCGACAGTCTCGTTGCGAGTGAACTTGCTCATGAGTTCTAAACCCTTCTCGTTATCGTTGTTGCGGAGCACGTATTTGGCCGCCTTGGTGTTGATATGGCGATCCTTCTCATCTAGCAGACGAGCTTTCTCCATCTCTTCTGCTGCCTTCTCAGGGTTTCCGTAGTGCTTCCAGATCCGTGCCTTGGTCATCTGATATTCCACGGCCTTTGGTGACAATTCAATGGCCTTGTCGACGTTTTCCATGGCCTTTGAGAGGTTGCGGCTGAGGTGGTAGTTGTAGTGTTGAGCCAGGAAGTAGTATGTACATGACAGGAACTCGGTGCTGTCCCCGTTCGACTCCGCGGAGCCGTTCGCTGCCTTTTCAGAGATATATCCCTCCACCAATTCTTGCACCACGTCACGCTTGGCTGGGTCGACGTAAAGCTGCTTGATGTTCACGAATAATGAAGGAACACCCTTCTTCAGCATGCGCTGCAGATAGGCGTCGGCGGCCTGCTTGAAATCCTCTCCTTCTAGGAAATCGAGAGGAATGCGACGAGCAGCATCACAGCGGGGGTTCTTCTCCAGCCACTCATCGTATAGAGCCTTCAATGCCTTGTGATCGCTTTCGGGGATAGCCTTTGCCTTAATCAAGCCATTGTAGTAAATAGAGTTGTCTGGGTTGCGCTCCAGGAGAGCTGTATATGCGGCCGCTGCATCAGCCTTGCGGTCCAGTCGCAAAAGATAATCCGCCTTCATCTCCATGACTGCGAGTACATCGGTGCATCGGTATCCAACAGCCTCGAGGTGCTCCAGAGCTCTTTCGAGGTTTCCAGTCTCCGCAATGATCGTGTTCTTGTACAAGGTGGCCTCTGAGTTCTCCATATCGGCGACATGTGGTGTGGCACCCTTCAAGGTCTCCTCGTAGGTAGTCAGAACCTTCTCGGCCTCTGCAAAATCCCCGGCTAAGTGATGAGCGATCGCGAGTGCCGTCCAGTTCTGGCGGAAGCCCGGACGAGTTTGCAGCATCGCACTGCGGCTCTTAATGTATCCCTGGTAATCCCGCATCTGCATCTGCAGCAGTGCCAAATCCCGCTGAATAGGTTGCGATTCAGGCTCGAGGCGCAGGGCAAACCGGTATGCTTTGATAGCCTCCTCGTAGTTCTTCTCCTGGCGCAATAGCAACCCGTACACGTGCCATGTGATATGCGACTTCATATCATTCTGGAGAGCCTTCTTGGCGAGCGCAAAGGCGTCCTCCAATTGTCCTATCTGACTCATATTCAGAGCCTTCATGGCTTGGGTATCACCATGCTTGGGATTTTTGCGAAGGACCTGGTCTGCTGTTTTGATGCCTGTGAAGTAAAACGTGGTTAGACGGGCCTAGGTGGTTTTAAGGACACTTCAGAGGCCCACCTTTCTTATACTGTTTCATCTCAAAGTGGTGAACCACTTGACGAAACAAGGAATGGTCCTTGGTGCTCAATGTTTCCGGCATTGTGGGCGATGCTGACGTCGAGAGACCTGGCTTGTGCGAGTGAGGAATCGATGTGTGCGGGGGACGACTTCTCCGAGTCCGATCTTGGCAGAGTAATAATAGGCCGATAAGATAGCGAGCACCATCCAACTTCTTCAGCAAATGAAGTAGACGAAGCAGGTGAAGCAGACTAGATTTTGGTTCTAGATCAGGCTGAAATATATGAATTTATTGACCCTATACTTTTTAGCCATCATAGGGTGTAAAATGGATATCTCGTTATACACACGTGGTTTGTTGTACCTGTCATGCAACTTTTCAGTGACTTAAGAAGTCAGCCAAAAAGGAAATACAACTCTTTTTTCTATATGTTGAACTTGAATAGATGGTTATTGTGACTTGCACTCCGAAACGTTTGAGATCGACTAATCTATGGCGCAAGCCACTTCTTCTCTTAGGTAGTAGGTAAGTATCGACAGACTATAACTATATTGTATCATTCTCTCCCTTTCTATTCGAAATCAAAAACCAATATACTCTATTGCAAACAAGTGAGGATGCAAGATAACAGAAGAAATTTGGTCCGGACTGTTCAAATATGTACAATTTGGGGCGATGACTCCCCGAATCTAAAGAGTTGAGTTACATAGTGATCCTGGTGTACTGAGGCAAGCTCCTACCAGATGAGCTATTTCCGATGCAAATGGCGCCAGCTATCGAAAGCTTCTTCCCAAGTAGAAGAAGGTCCACTGCATTTTTCTGACACCATCCCCCACGTTCGAGCCCGAATAATCTCTTCAATAGTGCGCTCATTGCGAATTAGATTGGCCAATGACTCAGTCCGTGCTTCACGTGGAAAGAAGCGAGCAGAGTAAGGATCCAGACGTTCATCGACTTCTCGTTCCCGGTCTCGGGCAGATTCTGTTTGCCGAAGAATCAAGTCGGGATCGTCGGGATCCGGACTCGTGGCTACACCAGCGCAGTAAGTGAGAACGTCTGATCTCGTCTGCCATGACGGGAATAACCCATTATCCTTGAAGGTCTGGCATGCTGCGGAGCTGATCCGAGAGCTAGAGTCGGTTTGTCGCACCGATGTTGATGATGGGTCAAATCCTTTTTGGGCCGGTGTAATCAATGCATTTAAGTTCTGTGTAATCGAGTCATCGATGGTAGATCTTGAGAGTCGGAGAAAGTCTGAGTCAAAATGGGTCATGTCAATATAAGCTTGTATCAAGATGGCACATTTCAGACGAACCTCTGAACAATCTCTCGTCAAAACAGAACCGAGGCGTCAGCGCCGGAGCAGCTGTTGATGAGGCCTGTGACATCCTCCCATGAATTTCCTCCCCAGATTCCCGATTCGATTTGACCCAGAGCCACTCCAGTTTGTAATGAGGATGTGTATAGCGTTATTTATGGAGGTAGATCGTCCAACAGAGTTGTATAACGTACACCGCGTTAATCAATGTGATATCGAAGTGTATTTCACTGAGACGCAATATGGCCTTTTATGTGATAGTTGTTGGCATGAGCAACCTTGAAAGCTCGTGGACGACTGGTGTCATGCCGTAATCAGCCCCGGAGCTGCCTGCTTTGGGACTAGCGCATTCAATTATCTGCACGTGACAGCGCGTATCCGCGTTTAGGAGAATCGCGTGCTTATGCCAGATCGTCTTTCGAGAAAAGGCACTTATATATTCCCTTGAAGTCATTTATTGCATGTTCTTACCATTGATACTGGAAATACCATACCAACATGCCTGAACTAGCAGAGATCCACCGCATTGTGCATTTCATTCGTGAGCACCTGGTTGGGAAAACGCTGTCCAAAGTACAAGCACAACATGATGATATTATATTTGGCAAAGTTGGCACTAGTGCCGCCGAATTTGAAAAGGCAATGCAAGGGAAGAAGGTCGTGGGAACAGGCCAACAAGGGAAATATTTCTGGATCATAATGTCCTCACCACCACATGCTGTGATGCACTTTGGGATGGCTGGCTGGCTGAAGATCAAGGATGCTGATACATACTACTATCGAACCGACAAGTCTGCAGATCAGGAGTGGCCCCCTAAATATTGGAAGTTCCTGCTGGAGACAAGTGACGAGCCGAAAACAGAGGCAGCATTTGTGGATGCCCGCAGGCTTGGCCGCATTAGACTGGTGGATTGCCCCGCTGATGAGATCCGAAATCATACTCCGCTCAAGGAAAACGGGCCTGATCCAGTCACCGATAAAGACGTCGTGAATGAAGCATGGTTGACAGAGAAGCTGGGAAAGAAGAAAGTGCCGATCAAGGCTCTTCTTCTGGACCAGGCGAATATCAGTGGGATCGGAAACTGGATGGGGTAGGTCTTTTCGTCAAACAAAAACCATGGAATATACAAAAGCTAATTATTTTCAGTGATGAGATTCTCTATCATGCCAAGATACACCCAGAACAATACAGCAACACTTTGAGTGATGATCAGATCAAGGCGCTACACTCTGCCATTCATTATGTCTGCTCCACATCTATTGGTGTCCTGGCAGATTCAGAGAAGTTTCCCGAGCACTGGCTTTTCAAGCACCGTTGGGGCAAGGGAAAAAAGAACCAGCCCGCCGTCCTACCCAATGGGGATAAGATCACTTTCCTTACCGTTGGAGGTCGAACAAGTGCTGTTGTTCCAACTGTCCAGAAGAAGACTGGTCCGGTGGCCAAAGATGTTGATGAAGACGTTGCAAAATTCACACCAGCCAATTCGAAACGGAAACGTATGGCCCTAAAGAAAGAAAACGACTCCGAAGCGGAAGAAACGACACAGACAAAGAAGCGAGAAACCCCAAAACAAAAGAAACCCACTGTAAAGAGTGAGTACTTTGAAGAAGAGAAGCCAAAGCCCGCCGTTGTTGGCAGAAGACGATCTACCCGTACATCTAAATGAGGTGTATGTATCTTAATCTAGAATGGTTCTGTATTTTCTATCAGGATCTCAATAGTCTCCTGGAATGAAATAGACTCTACTTGAGTAAAACGCAGCATCTGACAGACTACTCTCATCTGCATGGGATTGATGCAGTATATATCCTTAGTAACTTACAACAGATGAATCCAGACAATCTAATTGCCATAAAGGGAGGCAATATATGAGTATATATATGTGAATCATAAAAGTAGTCATTGCTCTTCATGCTTTTACTCGCCTTGGTCTTGGGGTGGCACATATCTCACTGGCAGGTTGACCGTATCCTGAAGAAATCTCAAGATATCTTCGATCTCATCCTCCACGCGATACCAATGTCCCAACCCTTCATAGGCCTTCCAAGTCACATCCATCCCAAAACCGGCTGAAAGGACATGCGACATCTTTCTTCCAAGTTCCACAGAAACCTTTAGGTCTTCGGAGCCGTGGCCAATAAAAATAGGCGTCTGGAGATGATGGAAGCTTGGTTGTGGTTGCGAATCCTCCGTTGAATAATCGCTTGCAGAGATTATTGGAAGATCAAGAATATCCCGAACATGGTTGATGGCGTGCTCAAGCAGTGAGGCTTCTTCGTCGCCATCCGCAAAGGGATCAAAAGCATCATGCGAAGAGCTGCTTTTTTCGAATGGATCATCATCCAAGTCCAGTTCCGAGAAGGTATCTGCATTTGCGTCTAACTCTTCGTCACTGCTCGACTGTTGCATATCTGCCACTCCGTCGTCTGAGTCTGAGTCATGATCGGATCGAGTCTCCTGGTCGTCTCTAACCGACGCAGGAAGCTCGCCACATTGCAGAATTTCATGGAACTGCTGCTCAAAGGGCAGCCATCCACTCATCCCAACAAATGCCCCGATTGTGCTTGTTTCAGTAGCGTCGGGCCAGCCACCTAGCAGAGTAAAAATACCCGCAGCACAACCTTGACTCAGCCCCCATAGGACGATTTTTCGATGGTTATGCGCACCCAAGATGCGGACCTCTTCGTTGATTAAGTCACGAATCAATTCAGCAGTCCCACAGAGCCCTTCGACCTGTAAGTCTGTTCTCTCTCCGGGATCCTCAATGGAGTAGTTGTCAAACCACTGGTTGATGTGCATCTTTTTGAACCTCGTTGCCCGCCGCTTACTTGCAGTCGGAAAAATGAACTTCACCGTGGGAAGCCGAGCTTGTAGGTTCGCAGCGGCAAGAAGCTCATAACCGAAGCGTTCAGCATTGCTACCTTTTCCATGGAGTGAGATAATAGTGTGTGTATGCTCTTCACCCAGAGGTAGGATAACTAGAGGAGCGGGGTATGTATTTCGTGACATTTGGGTGGATTTTGGGGGGACAGAGAGGGTAAGAGGAGAAGATACAAGAAAAGCACAATTTCCAATAGTTATCTTCGAGTGAATGCCAAGGATCAATTTCGAAAGTTCTTTGTTCTTATATTTTATATTTTTTCTTTTGTTAATATGAATAGCCATCCTATGCAGGGTTATCGAATAGGCAACAAGACAAGACATGCAACAAACTTATAGATCAACCATGACTATACTCACTTCAATGCCAGTCAATGGGCCTTATATCACATAATTCTTAGAGTAGACAGCGAAACATGGGTAAAAGCTATATATACCACCCCAATTATCAATGATTATACTCATACCAATCCCAGACAATAGGCTTTATGTCGCATAGTTCTATTTTCCGCTCATAAAGAGTGGTTGTCTGTTATTGTATACGAGGGGATAACATCAACGAAGGGACATATATATAAAGCCTGTAGATGGCCCCAAGCGTTAAAATATCACTCTCAAGTCTCATTTGAATACTAACAAACCAGCCTACCATCGAACCATCACAATCCCGCCCCCAGAAAAGACAATTATTTTACACGACCAGGACAATTAGTTCGTCAAACATGGCTGACTCATGGGACGTCTATGTTACATTCTGTCAACGGAGAGGTAATGACCCTTTGCATTGGATGCTTTTGCTTGCTAACCCTGGGTCGCTGCATTGTACATGGTATCACGTCGTTGGAGGTCCTATGCAGAGTCGAGACTACGAGTGCAAGATTCAGGCTGGGAAGAGAATGGACAGTTTCGGTATATCAAAAAAGCAGTACGTCAGCCGTATTGCCGCAAGCGATATCAACAAGGTGAAATCAGCGGTAGTAGCAGTCCCTGCACAGGATTGTCAATACTGGATGGTGGAAGTGCTTGCCGGGCTTGAGCGCAAATCCTTGGTTCCTCCTGGCACCAGCGTTCATTATCATAACCAGATTGAGCCTTCTATTGCTGGGGAAATGGAGGATAGCTGGGTCTTGCTTTCCGGAACTTGTGAAGAGGAACTGACCATCGAAGAGCCTGGTAGCAACTAGATGAAACGGACTAGTAGATGGTTGGGGTTGAAGATTTCCTGGTAATTGAAATTCTGAAGGTATGCTGCACATGCCCTTTGCCATTGATGTTCTTCTTTTTTATATATATACATGAGAGTCTATCGTTTGTTTTTCTTCACAGGTTTATCCATGGATATATCACTCACTCTCTTTTTACTACCTTTACACATTTTTGATTTTATGCTCTGTCTATGTCAAGGTTTTATTTGGATTTCATAGTTCAGATTTGTTAACAATGCGATTTTATACTCTGGTCAATCTTAAGTAATTCATAGAAGATGTAGATATAAATTCCCATCAACCAGCCCAGTTGTATATCTTATATCTCTCCTGCGTAGCGCGGGTGGGCGAAGACGGACACGAAGACATGCAAGGGGAGTACCTATTCGCGTTCGAGAATAGCAATAACAGTCGAGGTGAATTCATGTGAAGGTACTGCTTCATAGTACCAGTTGGTGAAAAGTGGCAAGGAAAGTCACCAACAGTGACAGATGAAAATAATGGGTGAAACCTGTTGAGATGGTGTATCAGGGCAAGGAATCAGAAGAGATCTATGTATTGTCGAAGGAAATAACTATAGGGAAGCCTACATTGTATATACACACAGCCTGATTCAAAAATTCCTATATAGTTTGCGCCTATCTCAAAAACCCCAAACCTCTCCCAAACGTGAAAAGCTAACGACGAGAAATAAAATTGAGCTTTTGAAAGGCTTGTCAAATGTTCAAACCATCCAATGTCTCTCTGAAAATTTCAAAATTGTTCTCCTTGGGAGCGTCTCTAACTGCAAAATAAATCCGCTCAAACCAACCCTTGAACTCTTTTTTCATGAGAACATCGTACCAGCACTCGGCCACCTCCTGAGTGGGATGGCGAAAGGCTCCACAACCAATGGAACCAAGGATCAAGCGGCGGTGATTGTTGTTCGCTGCCGTGCGTAGAATCAATTGCATCTTGGCCATCATGAGATACCGCTGTTCTATTGCCGCGTACGTGGATTTATCGGCGGTCAATTTAGGCTGGTTCCGTGCTGCCATGCTGATAACACTGACAGTGGGGTTCAGGTGTAGTTCTTCGTCCTTCGACATGAAAGCATACTCGTTTTCCATACTCTTTCGGAAAACGATCACATTGGGTGAATAGAGGCACTCCAAATCGTCCATTGGGTAAAATCGGGTATGGAGAGTATCAATGAGTGTGCTTCGGTAGCAAAGCTGCTCCTCCTGGGCTCGAGCACCATTGAGCCAGCCTCCACCTGGTCTGGAGGCATTGGCAAAGTTGAGAACACATACTGGCATGTGATCGATGGTGCTGCCCGCTTTCTGCATCTCGAGGGCACGGTCATACGTGTCTCCCGCCACCACCCTAATCACAGTGTTTAAGTTTGGATACTCCACGGAATTAGGGTCCAGGACAGGAGCGGTCCATCTGTTCGCCAGATATCCAAACCGAGTTCCCTCCAATTCAGTTCTGAACAGAATTTCGTCCGTGGCTCGCTGTGTCATTGTTATGACCTTCTTCATTGCGATTAATTCAGGCTTGTTGACCCCCTTCCGCTTGGCCGTTTTTCCAAGACCAAGGGTGCGCTTCTTCTTAGGCGAATCAGGCTTTTGGGCAGGATGTTTCTTTTTAAGTACCTCAGGCTGACTTTCTGGTGATATAAGAAGGTCAGGGCTCTCTGCCTGACCATCAAAGTCAGTCATGATTATATCGCCGGACGACTTGGAGGTGCTAGAGTGGCTAGAGGCAGAAGAGAATTTCTGGGCAATGGTATCGATGATCTCAGTAAGGCCACTACTGCTCTGATGGCTTCTGCTTGAGGCAGGTGATTGGTTCGCGAACTGGGAATCCGTGGAATCTGTGGATTGTGTAGACTGTGATGACTGCGTCGACCTGGAGGTATCGGACTGGGCAAGCTCCTTCTTTTTGGGCATGGCTTTCTCTGTCTTTAAGGTGATCGATATGCGAGAAACAGTAGGGTTGCTAATTTGATAAAGACGAGAATTCTCATGGCTCTTTATGGCCCATGTTTACTCCCCTTGGCTAAAGGTAATCCAGTATAATTCTTACATAGTATGGATTGAAAGAATACAGAACACAAAGACTCGAGGCTCGAACAGTGCAAAGTAGAGCAGTTGAAAGAAACATCAGATGGATCACGTGTATACTTCCAATCCAACCAATCAGAGTAAGCGCAACCCGCATCAGGGCGGTGAGCTTATCTCCGATCTCGCCACCATGACAAAGCGTGCAACGCCGTTGGCTTGTCGCCTTCTTGCAGAACTATTTTTAATCCTCCAAGGTTTCGATGTCTTTATTCTGATTATTCCTTGCAATTCCAATAAGCTAAATCCAGGCCATTTCTTTCTCTTCATTGAGAACCGCCCAAAGCAGTACTCCGCCACAATGAGCGCGATCCTGTCAGCAGATGATCTGAACGATTTCATTTCGCCGGGGGTCGCGTGTATCAAACCAGTTGAAACCCTTCCACCGAAAGACACAAAGAATCAAGAAGTATGTCCACTTAATGGCCTCATTGAAACTATGTGGCATTTGAGTTTCTTTTGCTAATTTCCCAATAATAGGACGCCTATGAAGTAACAACGGAAGACAAAGTCCAGCCCGAGAATCTACCCCCCGCACAGATTTCTTTGACAGACTGCCTCGCTTGCTCTGGCTGTGTTACGTCTGCTGAAGCTGTGTTGATATCACTTCAGTCTCACGCCGAGGTCCTCAATACACTTGACGCGCATCCAGAGATTCCCTTGAAGCATGAGCATCATGAGGTCACGGTCAATAATACCGAAGATTCTGGAGAGGGTAAGATCTTCGTCGCGAGTGTCAGCCCGCAAGTCAGGGCCAGTCTGGCAACGATTTATGGAATTTCGGAGAAAGAAGCGGGGTACATGATCAGTCAATTACTTAGTGGCCCACAGGGCTTGCGGGGTGGGGGCAAACACGGCAATGGATTTACATGGGTTGTCGACACCAATGCCATGAGAGAGGCTGTACTGGTGCTCACTGCAGACGAGGTTTCGGACTCACTGAGCTCAGGTGAATCGTCAACAGCGAGCCAGTCGGATGACTCTCTTCCCAAGCGACCTATTTTATCCTCAGCATGTCCTGGATGGATCTGTTACGCCGAAAAGACTCACCCTTTTATACTTCCACATCTTTCTCGACTCAAGTCCCCGCAGGCTCTGTCGGGGACATTCCTCAAGACCGTTTTGAGCAAGTCTCTCGGGATCCATCCTTCTCGGATTTGGCATTTGGCCGTCATGCCCTGCTTTGACAAGAAGCTAGAAGCTAGTCGGGAAGAACTCACAGATGTGTCGTGGCGACAGGGAGATTCCACGGACTCTGAAACGCAGCCCGTTCGTGACGTGGACTGTGTTATCACTGCTCGTGAGCTTCTGTCTCTAGCTTCGTCCCGTGGGTTCTCACTGCCAAACCTACCTTTGCAACCTCTGCCTTCGTCTTTTACCCCACTCTTCCCTGAAAAAACCCTCGATTTTTTCCTTTCCCCCAAACGCTCTCGCGCAGAACAATCTCTTGCTACCGGCACCTCTGGGGGCTACCTACACCATGTTCTCATGACCTTCCAGGCTCGCAATCCAGGCAGCGAACTTGTGATCAACCGCGGACGCAACGTCGATGTCGTCGAGTACGTGCTCATGTCTCAAGAAGGTCAAACCATTCTGAAAGCAGCCCGTTATTACGGTTTCCGAAATATCCAAAACCTTGTCCGGAAGCTCAAGCCTGCGCGCGTGTCGAGGCTTCCGGGCGCAAAACCCGCTGCCAGATCTGCCGCAGGTCGGCGCCAGCCTTTATCTCGTAGCGCCGTGTCCACAAACAGCTCAGGGTCAGACTACGCCTACGTGGAGGTCATGGCCTGTCCTGGTGGGTGCACGAATGGCGGTGGCCAGATCCGAGTCGAGGATGCCAGAGAAGCCATCGGTTCTTCCCAAGGGCTGGCACTAGACGCATCCATGAAGCCATCCCCACATGAGCAGCGCGCGTGGCTTGCTCGTGTCGACGAGGCTTATTTCTCCGTGGAATCTGAGTCTGAGTCTGAACTAGAGACTCAGCCGTCTCCATTGGCTGACAAGGAGGCTAAAATCCATGAACACTTACGATCCTGGTCAGAATACATGGACATACCCCTCTCTAAGCTTGTCTATACTACATACCGCAAGGTAGAAAGTGATGTTGGGAAGGATCAAACACCTGCTGATGATACGAGTCGGGTTGTCGAGCTTGCAGGGAAGATTGGTGGTGGTTGGTGATTTTTGTCTGCTTCATTTTGTTGCTACAAGATCCACCCTTGCGGTGTTATTCTTCATGGCCTCTTTGTTTCATTTACATGGCGCGGGATCTTGGGTTTTTCTTGCATTTTTCTTGGGGGATATACCATATTTTTCATTTTTGAAGTCGCGGTCGACGATCCATGACGTGCTGATTTGTTTCAAGCTTATGACATGATAAAATGCATAGAAAAAGGCGTAAATACCTTCAAATACGATCAATGATATTAATGGAGCTATCGAAACACATAAATCAAAGACCTTTCTAAATTTCATACAACATAGAATCGGAGGCCTTTTTCTACTTTTAGGTCATGGAGATTGCCCACCTGGGCAGGTGGGCCTGTGTATGATGACTAATCTGTCATATGCATGACTAAGCACCTAAAATCCCGCGCTCCGAAAAGAAAAAGAATCGAAGTATCTCAGCCTCCAAGCTAATTCCCACCTCACAACTCTCATCAACCTGCCGCTCACGATTAACTCGCGCGCAAAATACCCAACTTACCAAACACCTCGTTCTCAACCCCAAAATATGTCTCGCGAAACCTACCAGGTCCCCTCGATGGGCACCCAGAACAACTTCGACACCCAAGCCGGAGGTTTCGGTAACGCCATGGCCATCGACAGCCCCTCAGTCACCTACCTGTGCGGCGAGTGCTCTGCCCGTGTTCCCCTCAAGCGTGGCGACCAGATTCGCTGCAAGGACTGCGGTCACCGTGTGCTGTACAAGGAGCGTACCAAGCGGTAAGATTTTCTTTCCTGGGCATTATCATGCAATATGCGCGCGACATGGGCTGACTTCTCTGTTCTTTGCGTCTTAATAGTATGGTCCAGTTCCAGGCTCGGTAGATGTTTCATTTACTCCAACAAAAATCGGGACGTTTGGAGGTTGCGATGGCTCAAGCGGAATCGAAGGAATTGGCCTGAGATCCTTCGAAGTCTTTATTTTATTTTTATTTTTTGACGAATTATGCATACAATGGCGCTTTGGGGTTGAATTACACAAACCAGGTTTTCTATGGTCTCAATCTACAAGAACCAGATACGATATTTTATAGCCATGCCATGTCCTCTTAGTCCTAGTCAAAATCTAGACTTGTGAGGACAGGCTTCAGCTCTTTCTCATTAGAAATAAGTATATTTTATTTGTTTCAGAGAATCATAGACATAATAGACATTCACTCATGGACCCGAAATCTGGACCCGAAATCTCATAGTATTTAAACGTACACGTATACCCAACCCGAAAGCTTTTTAAACACTTAACAAAATCCAACCCTGCGAAAAAGAAAAAATAGTCACAAGATTCTACTTTAGAGCTGATTAGTTACTTCAATGAATTGCTCCAAGTTCTTCAAAGACTGCCCGCTCTCGATTGCCCAGCGCGCGCGACGAACACCTTCTTTCCAGCGACCACCGCCAGGGCCACGCTCGGTGATGACCTGACCATCATCGCCAGGTCCCATGTTGCTGGTATTGGCCTCGCAAATGCCCGAGGTGACAAGTAGACCAGCCACATTCATGAGAACAAACTCCAAAATCGGGTCATCCCGTGGAAGCTCATTCCGAAGTATACTCATCAGCTTTTCTGCGTTTTGCTTGGGCATTTTACCTCCGCCAACATCACTAAGAGGATGGCTAGAGAGCCCAAAGTCCGCTGGCTCGACCTGGAAGGTGTCGACCTTGACGATGCTGCGGGGATTGTCGATATCCTCTTCGGTTGAGTCATCGGCATCGTCTTCTGGTGCTTGGTATGCAGGGTTCGGGTACGCGGAGAGTCTCCAGCAGTTTGTCTTTCCAGCACAGCTGATTTCGTCCATGTCCTCTGCGCCACAGACAATCATGGCTTTCTTCGCTCCGCTTTGTCTGAAAGCCTCGGCAAATACTGGACCAAGGCTCTGGTATGCGACGCCAACTACGCGTGCTTCCAGTGCCCAGTCAACGGGGTTTGCCAGTGGGCCCATTAGGTTGAAAATCGTTCGAAGGCCGAGGCCCCTGCGGACAGGGTTGGAATGCGTCATGCCTGGGTGGAAATTCGGAGCAAACAAGAACGAATAGTTGGTTTTCTCGTAGACCTTGGATAGGTTTTCAGCGGTGATGGCTGCGATCTTGGGTGGCAATGGCTGGATGGCATTGAGGACGTCAGCAGCCCCAGAGGTCGACGTTTGAGCGCGGTTGCCATGTTTAGCTGTCAAGAGAAGAGGAGATGCAACGATCGAGGAGGTCGTTGAAATGTTAAAGGTCGAATGAGAATCTCCTCCGGTTCCAACAATATCACACTATACATCGCAGCTTGTCAATATGACTCATTAACAAAATATAGGTGTTGCGCATACCAATCCGCCCTCATAATTCCCTGCTTTCAGATTACGAGACTTCATAATCTTGATAAGCGGGGCTTTCTCAACTTGGCAAGCAGCCTCTCGCATGCATTGAGAACATTTCGCAATCACATCTGGCTGTCTATCCTTGCCGGTTGAGTGGAGCAATGTGAGGAGGGCAGCGGTCTGGATATGGGATAACCGGTCCTCGAAGATCAGCGCAAAGGCAGAAGCAATCTCCTCTGCACTCACGGCGGGGAGATCGTGTGCGCTGACTCGAATGCCGGCAGCCGCGGGGTAGGCGAGTCGCTGGAGGAGGGGAGCGATCGAAATGGACTCAGGCCGCTGAGATGGAGAGGATACAGGTGTCGCCATACTTGAAATATTCATAAGCGACAGTGTGTTCGCAATAGCCCAGCAATCCCAATGATGTTTCACAGGCTTAAAAAGATACCTGCGAACGAGGTAACAGTCAAGTGACTCAAGAGATTCCGATATAGACGGCAAAAATAACTCACCGCCATCGGGGCGCTTTACCCTTTTGGGACCCTAAAAATATCATTTGCATTTCCCGGGGGCTCGTCTTAACCTGTCTTGTCTTGTGTATATCGCCTTTTTTTGAATTGTTTTGGGAATTGGTAAATTCACCACCTAAATCTATTATTCACAATGCCCCCTCGTTTAAGAATCCCGTCGCTTCAACAAATCCCTCGGTGCCAAAATGAACTCCGAATTATCAGGAGCGCATCCAGCGCTGCGGCCCCGGCAGTCACGCCAGCTGCTTCAAATGAGCAGATGGCACGCTCACCAGCTCCCGTATCACGATTTCCTCCTACCCAGCCACCTTCGCACCGCAATCCCGAATACCGCCGGTCGCAACTACTGCGGTCATACACCTCCCTTCTCCGCACATCTCCTCTCATTGTGCTGTTCCAACACAACAACCTCAAGTCCATGGAATGGGCCGCCATCCGACGAGAATTAACCATTGCCCTGCAAAAGGTGGACGAGAAGATTGCCGCCGAAGGCCGCACGGCGCCTGCCCTCGCTCCTTACATTAAGATCCAGACTATCCAGACCAGCATCTTCGAGGTGGCTCTGCGCATTGTCGAGTACTTCCGCCCCAGCGAGGCTTCCTTGGGTTCAGGAAAGCCCCCAAGTGCAATTGACCCCGTGACACAAACCTCTGCCGAGCTCCCTGCAATCTCCGGGTCGAAGGATGATCCGGCTTTGACACACGACCTGTCTCGTACCGCCCACGAGGCAGTCAAGAACTTGAAGGGCATGCACGAGCTTTCTCCTCTGCTCATCGGCCCCGTTGCTGTCCTTTCCATCCCTACCGTCTCGCCCGAACACATGAAGGCCGCGCTGTCGATTCTCACCCCCAAAGAAGCCGGCTTCAAGGCCCCTACCCGCAAGGCAAACCCGGAATACCACGAGCCCATCGTTCAGAACGGTCTCCGCAAGATTAACTTGCTGGCTGCCCGTGTGGACAATCAGGTGTTTGATATCGATCAGACCAAGTGGGTCGGCAGCATCGAGGGTGGCATGGACGGTCTTCGCTCCCAGCTTGTCACCGCCTTGCAGAGTATGAGTTCCAGCGTTGCAACTACTCTGGAGGGAGCTGGCAAGAGCATTTACTTTACCTTGGAGAGTCGTCGGAGCGTTTTGGAAGAGGAAGAGAAGGGACCGGAGGGCGACAAGAGCGAATCGTCATAGTCTGGTCATGGTCATTTTGATTCATTTTCCTGTATAATAGATCATATTCTGCGTTTAGTCCTCAAGGCACCCTCTTCCTACTTCGGGATCAATGTATACTTGAAATCAACTTTGGTGCATCATATTTCCTGTTTAACCCATGAATCATTGCATTTCCTGTATGAGGCAACATACAGACTGCGGCTAAAAGACAAGTTTCCTCCCGATCTGTGCCCATCACGTCCACCATCTAGTTCTGTCTCAAACGCAGTTTGGCATTCATGCCAACAATACAGCGCACAAGATCCCAATCTCCATTCAGACCAACCCAGTCCGTAACAAGAATACCCGTCGAGCAGTCCGCATCATGCTCTTTACCTCGGCGACAGATATAATCCACAACCGCCGGGTTAACCTTAGCAGCAACCTTCTCGGGCCAAGTATCCGTCTTCCAGAAGTTACTGGCACTCAAGAAATTGACGTAGAAGGGAAAAGCCTTGGTCGCATGCATATCAGGCTGAACACCAAACGGATAGCGACAACAGCTAGCCCGATCGATCTGTTCCGAGACGAACTTAATCTTCTTTTCGATATTCATACTCTCCAGCACCTCATAGAAATCCTGAATGCAGAGCTGACCACTGGGACACTTAGCATTGGGAGTATTATCCGCCCAGGCAGCAGCATCAATACCCCAACCATTGCCACCATGTTCGTCCTTCAGCTTCTGCTGCAAGTTAAACCGACGCATGAGGATAACCTTTCCACGCGCCTCGCCCAGAGTCGGGATCTTAGGCCGCACCCACCACCTACTACCAGCCTTGGCGTAGTGATCGTGCAGGATCCGCGAGACCTGCTCGTCAGTCGCGTTACCGGTTCCCTCCCGCTTAACAGAGACGATCAGCGTCTCGGAGGGGTTGCGCTCGAGGAACCCGTCCACTTCACGCATCAGGTCGCGGAAGTACTTGTTTCCTGTGAGCGAGATGGGGAACACGCTGTGTACGAGAATCAGCTCGTCGCGCGCCGCGTCCTCGGGGTACTGTGGCTGCACGCGGATATCGAAGAACCGAACGCCGTTCTCCAGCTGCTCTTTCGGGCTTACAGCCTGGCAGCGCACTGAGGGCGGCGCGATGTGGCAGGTGGGTGAGTTGTGCGTGCCTGGGATTGAGAGGGCGGAGACAAGGGTGTCATCGCGGAGCTCGCGCATCCAGGCGTTCAGGTTCGCCGAGGAGAAAATTGCGAGGAAGGATTCTGCGACCACAAAGACGCCGGTGAAACGGTGTTTGGGGTTCTCGTTTAGTGCTTTCATTCCTGCAGACTCTGTTGTTGGGACGGGAGCTTGGATCTGGTATTTCTGGCCTTCGACCTCGAAGATTAGACGCATGCGCTCCTTGTCGGAGTGGATGAAGGAGCGTAGCTCGGTCTTCTTCGTTGTGAATGGCTCCACGTGAATGTCGACATCCTTCTCCTCGAAGGGACGGCTGTCCTGTTCGATGGAGGAGACCTCCTCATTACGGGTTTGGTTGGTCAAGACCTGGGTGAGGTTCCTGGCCATTGTGCTGAAGGCATTGAACCCATCCTTCTCCGGTGCCGGAAAGCGCTCAATGCGCTTCAGGACGATTGGAGTGGAGGTGTTGTTGCGGATAGTGAGGTGCTCGGCAACCATTGTGGATTGGACAATTTGGTGAATTGAAATTGGAATCAACGCGAGTCCCTGGGCGAAGGGTGTTTGTCTCAAGATGGATCGAAATCGGCTGCCTGGGGAGCTGAGATCGAAGTGGGTTACCCCTCCACTGAGGATCAGCGGACGATCTCCGATAGGGAACCCCTTATTCTTGGCGCGTAAAGCTGATTCGAAAGGACATCGCACTTGTGAGACAGAGCGGAGATTCTTAAGGTCTGTATGGAGTATGGAATACTCCGTACGGAGTACGATATACTACTAGTACAATACT